AATCCCAATCGAATGACAACCTCTAGCGTCTGGTTATTCCAGTCTACCCTATAGTATTTATTGTGCATACTCTCCAGAAATGTCAAAGATTTTGGATGCTATTGAGTGAGTTAGAGATGTAGCTACTTTAAAACCGGTGCTCGAACAATATACTTTGCACACAGCCCAAAATATCCAAAGGATGGAATTAACAACTCCACTACTACATTCCCACCCCCAAACACCTCAACCCCATCACCACCCCTCACCTCCAAACCAGTAAAGGTATATTGCCATCCTTCCAACACCCCCCCACCCCCCACCATAACCAGGTATCCAATAAAAGTACATTGAATGATAGTTGTAAATGAGTTGCACCCCCACCCCTACGCCCCTCCACCACAACAAGTACATTGTATGATAGTTGTTGATGAGTTGCACCCCTACCCCTCCACCACAAGTACATTGTATGATAGTTGTTGATGAGTTGCACCCCCACCCCTCCACCACAACAAGTACATTGTATGATAGTTGTTGATGAGTTGCACCCCCACCCCTACGCCCCTCCACCACAACAAGTACATTGTATGATAGTTGTTGATGAGTTGCACCCCCACCCCTCCAAAACAAGTACATTGTATGATAGTTGTTGATGAGTTGCACCCCCCACCCCTCCACCCCTCCACCCTCCACCACAACAAGTACATTGTATGATTGTTGTTGATGAGTTGCACCCCACCCCTACACCCCTCCACCACAACAAGTACATTGTATGATAGTTGTTGATGAGTTGCACCCCCACCCCTACGCCCCTCCACCACAACAAGTACATTGTATGAGTTGCATCCCACCACCCCTCTACCACAACAAATTCAATAAAAGTACATTGTGTGCTAGTTGTGAATGTGTTGCACCCCACCACCTCTACTCCAACCATAAATCCAATAAAAGTACATTGTGTGGATACATGTAGTTGTTGATGAGTACGTTATCTGATAGTTTCCTGGTGTAATACCGTGTGAGGTCTGTCGCGTTTCTAGCATTCATTATTGATTGATTTACGGGACAAGTGATGTTTTTTATAGCCGGGAACCAGTAGTACATCCGCCTCTATCGACTTGACCTAACTATCTGATGACACAAATTTAACATGTCATAAAACAGAAAATCCAAGTAGAGAACGATAAAACCCCCACACTCGATAAGAAAAGGAGGGTGGAAGATTCCCTGGAACAGTGCAGGCAAGTTTGGATCTCAGTGATGCATCCGGGGTAGAACAGGAACCAATCCGTGAAAAAATCTAAAAAATATAGATCCCCGGCAACAAACTTGACAACACTGTGTAGTAGTTTTAAAAATATAATCTAGAACATGTTTCTGGCTGTTCGCCCTTCATCAGCTAGAGGTGGATACAATATGTTATAACTTATAAATAGTTTATTTAATATATCATAAAACAGTTAATTTAAAGTATCTAAATATCTAATTCAATATCATCCAAAATCTTCGACATTGAAAACACAAATTATTTGTCGGTTTAAATCAACATTGATGTTGTGATCTTACCGGGAAAAGATGGGCTTCTGATATCCAATATTCAAGACAAAATAAACATTTTACCATTGGTACACGAATCGTGTACCATAATGCGTTTCAGCGCTATTTGTAACAAGGGACACGAAAAACGAGGCTAGGCATATTCCACAAGCCATGTCAAACGGTGACGCTATATTCTTATGTGGAGAGCATGCCCAATAAATACTATCGGCATAGACTGGAATAACCAGACGCTAGAGATTGAAATTCGATTGAGAATACTGGCGTATTTCACCGAACCTAACTGATTAGAAATTACAGTAAAAACAGAAACGATTGAATGTAGATCAGTTTATATACATTCATATTACATTATTATATTCGTTGCGACCCATTTCAGTCAATTTCTAGGTCCCAAATATTAGCGACTTAACTCCATTAAACATACATTATACAAGAGCTAAATCTACCTATTGCAGGTCTTTCTTTAGGCATGAAATGTTATCTAAATTATTGATTCGACATTAATTAACTCAGCCAGTCCATAATCAACTCTCAATGTCATCGCTAGCCTGCAATATTTACTTGATTAGGATCCGATTTGCTGCTCAACTTTCATTCATGATTTAATCATAAAATGGATAATAGAGACTATGTTCTTTATCGGTTCAGAGCTTATCAATTTGACTGAAATTTTCAGCAAATTCCCTTTACATTATCTAGTTTTTAACTATTATAGTGAGAACTGCCAGCTCTTTATCTAATCTTCCATTATGTATCTTTAAATGTTTTTTTTTTTACCGTAACAGTTTATAAATGTTTTCATTAAACAAAAGACTGAGGGCCTGACAAGGACAACTGTCTAGTAGTTCGGATGGTCTGAAAAGAACGAGGACCCATGTATACATTGGCAGTTTTCATTAACCCAGTTGGAGCAGAACAGTAGAATGTTAAACCACATTTCATTTCAAACAACTGCAGACGCAAAAACTTTGTGAAAACTGATGTATACTTCAAATGGTTTGAAATTATGAAAGATAACCAAGCAAAGCATGGAAATACATCGTCCACACAGCAGCTTTGTCTCGACAATAAACAGCATTAAAGCTGATCCGAAAGAAAAATATTGTGACCTCAGGAGAGCAGAAAAGCAGAATTACGTTAAAGGGCCATAACTTCGGAACAAACATAGTGATGCCCTTAAATTGAATCCCAATCATCGTTAACTGATAAGAACCATTATCCTCAAGTTTAAAAAAGATTCATCAAAACTTGTGGCATCTAGAGAGTGGACGGACGAACGGATCGGGTAGCTACATTATACGCTCATCATACTAGGGGGTGGATGACCAAATGGTTAGCGTGTGCGCGTTGTATTAGAGGGTCTGTCTTTAAGTCAACTGGTGTGGTTTCCATTCCCCAGTTGTAGTGACAAGGAGTAAAGTTGCTTATCTAACCTCATGGGTTTTCTCCGGGTCCTCCAGTTTCCTCCCACTGGTAAAAAAAACCCTACATGCAAGTGAATTATTGAAATAAAAATTGAACCATATGTTAGTCCTAAAATGACCTACTAATTTGGGTTTCTCTCTCTCTCTCTGTCTCTCTCTCACCTATACTATGTGTAGGTGTCTAATAAAGATTTAATTTAGAACTGGTGAGATTTATTTCATGATTAATTTGTCAGGTTTTATATAGGAATGATGTTATATCCCCCTGTAATATATCTCTCTCTATATGGACGTCATTAAGGTCCTGATTCATTCTCTTATTCTATGGTCATTGTTACCAACATCCGATTTGTTAATCAAAACATCCTTATTCATCATGTTATTGTAACATATCCACTTGTCTCTGATGTCATAATACACAAGTCCTCTTATAAAGACATGGTTCATCAACTAATGTTCTCCTTCTGAACTAATTGATATTGTTTACAGTGAAAGAAAATCAAATCAACTTTATTTTGATGTTCTTTAACAAGATGGATAAATCCAAGAAAATAGTTAAGAACATTTTCACCAAATATTTATGTCGATCTCGAGCGGAATACAAAGTAAATAGTTTATCGGTAATATCAGTTATTATTGTTATATGTTTAGTTAAAGGGGAGGTATGAGAGATTAGATAAAGAGTTGACAGTTCTCACTATAAAAGATAGATTGTGTAATCCAGACCATAATCAACTCCGATTTTAGGCCTGAAATATCTAAAATATTAAACATACATTATGCAAGAGTTAAATCTGCCTATTGCAGGTCTTTCTTTAGGCCTGAAATGTTTTCTAAATTATTAATTAGACATTAATTAACTTATCCAGGCTATAATCAATTCTTGATAATATCGGATTTCTCTGATATTAAATAGATTAGAACAGTTCGGCCATATGTTGATTTAAGCTAAAAATGGAGGAGCGAGACTTAGCCTCGAACAACTAGTACGTGGTTGAAATTATTGCACACATCTTGTGAAACTTTCAAAGGCTAATATCTGCGCTCGCAATAGAGTAATTTGAATAAAATTTTCAAATTATTTATTTTACATTATCTATTTTCGAACTATTATAGCAAGAATGGCCCGCTCTTTTTCTAAATCTTACATAATGTATCTTTAATTAAACTTTAATTAACTTTACCAAGACCGCAATCAAGTCTCCGTGCCCTTGTATAGTCTAGATTTTCAATAGATTTAAATACCTTTTGCTGTAGATGCGGTTACTGTAAAAATGGATAATCAAGACTTTGTTTATTATCGTAACAACGACAATAACGAGGCTCGGAGTGAAGTAATTTGACTGAATTTTCAATGTATTACCTTTTCATTATCTATTTCTTAACTATTGGGTATAATCTAGGGTTGATCTAATTGTGGGCAGCTTGGGTATGATGCAATGCTGCTCTAATGTGGGGCATAATGATGTATTGCTGCCACGATTGTGGACAGTTTAGGTATAATGTATTGTTGCTGTAGTGGGTGTAATGTATTGTTGCTGTAGTGGGTGTAATGCATTGTTGCTCTAGTGCTCTAGTGGGCATAATGTATTGTTGCTCTAGCGCTCTAGTGGGCATAATGTATTGTTGCTCCAATTGTGGACAGTTTGGGTATAATGTATTGTTGCCTCAATTGTGGACAGTTTGGGTATAGTCTAGGGTTGCTCCATTTGTGGGCTGTTTGGGTATAATGCAGTTTTGTTGTAGTGCGGGTCCTCCTGTTTCTTCCCACTGCTAAAGACCCCTACGCACAAGCAAATTATTGAAATAAAATTAAAACCATATGTTACTCCCGAAATGACCTAGTTTGTGTGGTGTGGACGTTAAACCCCATCTCTCTCTCTCTCTCTCTCTCTCTCTCTCTGTTGTAGTGGGTAAAATGTATTATTGCTCAAATTGTGGACAGTTTGGGTATAATGTATTTTTTGAATTAGATATATATTATGTAATATGTACGTGTACTAATACCACAACTCAAATTATGTTTTATAATTTCAGGGTATGATTGATGTATCATTAGGAACACCGATACAGGATGCCTCTGTTTATCAATTTCCTTTAGATCTTGTATCAGAGCTACTCCAACAGGTAAAATATCTTCTTTATTGTTTAGAACTAAGTACAACAGGTGCCAACAACATAAACTGATCAGTTCTGTCCTTTCCATATAAAAATCTATAATTGGAAATTATGCTGTTGTCTTTAAAAGTGTAACCTATATTATTCAGTTATATATCCATCATTAAGAAACAATATTTCATATTTGCTCTACATGTAAGTCCCCAGTTTTAATTACTTAAACAGCTTCAAGAGCTAAATCTACCTATTGAAGGTCGTTCTTTAGGCCTTAAATGTTATATAAATTATTAATTAGACATTTATTAACCTATCCAGACCATAATCAACTCTCGATGGCATCGGATGCTTGATATTTTCACTAGATTAGAACGGTTCGGCCTTTTAATTATTTGATTTGAAAATGGAGAAGCGAGGCAAATACTGTGGTTATGATTATAAACAATCAATACGCACATCTTGTCAAAACTACAAACAATGATAACTTGGTATGCAATGAGCCAATAACTCTTAAGTGTGGGTGTCTATAAGATGAATGTCTTGACTTTAGGTCCATGAGGAGCATTTTCGGCTCTGGCTAAGAAAAGATAATTGTATTGAATGATGGTTTGGAAGAATAACTTTGATTCTAATTAAGTGAGAGTGATTGAACATTTGTGTATAGTTATATTACAACATTATCTTAAATAAGTTCCATAATGCGCTTTTTAATTGTTTAACAGTTTGTTTGCTCAATGCTTTATTAAAGATACATTATGTAATTTTAGATAAAAGAGCTGACTATTCTTGTTATAATAGCTCAAAAATAGATAATGTAAAATGAAAATATTGAAAATTTCATTCAAATTACTTCATTCTTAGCCAAGTTATCACTGTTTGTAGTTTTGACAAGATGTGTGCATTGTGGTAACCAGAGTACTGGTATATTCGAGACTTAGCCTTGAGAGTTGATTATGGTCTTGTTTTGTTAATATATATCTAATTAATAGTTTAGATAACATTTCAGTCCTAAAGAAAGACCTGCAATAGGTAGATTTAGCTCTTGCATAATGCATTTTTAAAAGACAAATTTAGTATCAACTGTTTATATTTATTTGTATATCTGTTCTATTTTTAAAAACAACATCAGGAGATGTGTTTCTTTCCTTGAATGAAAATGAACTGATTTTGTTACAGAATGCAGATGTCATAACCAAACTTGCTCATGAAAATATAATCGTAGCGTTAACACCATTGTTAGAAAATAACCATCCAACTCAAGAAATCTGTGATTTTTTCAGTAAGGTAAGGGCAACATTTTTATAATTCCTCCTTCACCTCCCACCCCCCCTCTTCTTATAATTAAAAAGAAACCCTTGTGCATCTTTCTGCATTTCGTTCATGGTTCTTTCACATGAATAGTGGTACCTATATCGATGACTTTCCAGTAGGGAGGAAGTCAGCCCCTCCCACCACCAAATTATCATTACATTACAGTTGTTTATTGCATTACAGATGTTTATATTGTTCATTTCGTCATAGTTGCCCACTACATCACATTACAGCTAATATTACATCATATTACAGTCGTTTATTACATCACATTACAGTCATTTATTACATTATATTTACAGTCATTCATTACATCATATTACAGTCATTTATTGCATTATATTACAGTCGTTCATTACATCATATTACAGTCGTTCATTACATTATATTACAGTCGTTCATTACATCATATTACAGTTGTTCATTACATTATATGAGTAGATTTTGAGTTGCAGCAGGGCATGCTGGAATACTCCCTGTTTTCTTTGTTGACTCCTTAAAGTAGTTAGACATTTATGTCAATGGTGGCTAAGTGGGCAAGACACTGGCTCGCTAGCCTGGCGGTCGTATGTTCGATCCCTGCATTGCCCGAGAAAGTTCATCAGCATTTTGCGACGTTGTTTCCCCTCATCAGTGGTCTAGTCGTTCGGATGCGATGAAAACCGAGGTCCCGTGTATACATTGGCATGCACGTAAAAGATCCCTTGGCTGTTGGAATACGATATAAGAGTAGGCCATAGTGCCGCTGCCCGGGCAAAATTTCCCTCATAGTACACTGTATGGCGTATGCCCCGTCTTTATTAGCCCAGTCAGAGGAGAACAGTAGGATGTTAAACCCCATTTCATTTATGTCATAACTCGATAAAATGTGATAAAGTTTGACAAGTTGACGTGTCAGTGACTGTAAAATATTATAATTCTAGGGAATATTGTTAAGCTGTAAACTGGTGGGTTGTCGAACGGTGTAGTGGTTTAACACATGCGTGTGAAATCACAAGGTCTGTCATTAAGCTGTAAACTGGTGGGTCGTCGAACGGTGTAGTGGTTTAACACATGCGTGTGAAATCACAAGGTCTGTCATTAAGCTGTAAACTGGTGGGTCGTCGAACGGTGTAGTGGTTTAACACGTGCGTGTGAAATCACAAGGTCTGTCATTAAGCTGTAAACTGGTGGGTCGTCGAACGGTGTAGTGGTTTAACACGTGCGTGTGAAATCACAAGGTCTGTCATTAAGCTGTAAACTGGTGGGTCGTCGAACGGTGTAGTGGTTTAACACGTGCGTGTGAAGTCACAAGGTCTGTCATTGAGTCAAGTGGCGTGGTTTTGATTCCTTGCTTGTACATGACACGGAGAGGGTCCTCCGACTATTAACGACCCCTACGCGCAAGCAAATTATTGAAAAAAAATTAAACCATACAATACAATTGAACCGTATGTTTGTCCCGAAATGATCTAGTTTTCGTCGAGTGGCGGTTAAACCCTGTTTATTTCTCTCTCTCTCTCATTCAACAATTTAAGAATGTGTTCGTGCAAATTTACTTGATAAGTTAATCAGCCATGACATGATATTGACACTCAGCGGACATTGTTTATCACCTAGTTAGCGTTACAACAATCACTATGGCCGCCAGACAGATGCAAACTTTGATGTGGTTTTATTAACTGGGTAGTTTTCTGTTTAAAGACAGTTTGTTGACGTTAGTATGAATGAATTATTTATCACCATGAATTATCTCCCCTCACCGACTGAACTCTGGGGATATATCCTCCATGAATTGATGTTAATTAGGACCGAGGAACAATGGACGACTGGTAGAACCAGACGATAAAAACATTTGTAGATTAGTAGGTGAGAATCATGGAAGCAGATTTAATGTTTGATTGGTCGTCTTTGATTGGATAATAAATGTTGTCATAGAGATACGATGGTTAAAGTGAGATACAGACGATAATGATATAAAGTTTCTTTTTCTCCGTGGTGAAAGTAATAAAGATAGATATCTTTGATAAAGCAACAAAAATTGATCTAGTGATGACCAAGACTACTTTCATTGAAGGGGGAAGTAATGAGTGCCTAGTGGTGGTTACTGCATGAAATGAAATGGGGTTTAACGTCCTACTTTTCTGCTCCGACTCGGCTAATGTAGACAGACTGTACCATATAGTGGTTTATAAATGTAATGGGGTTTAACGTCCTACTGTTCTGCTCCGACTGGGCTAATGTAGACAGACTGTACCATATAGTGGTTTATAAATGTAATGGGGTTTAACGTCCTACTGTTCTGCTCCGACTGGGCTAATGTAGACAGACTGTACCATATAGTGGTTTATAAATGTAATGGGGTTTAACGTCCTACTGTTCTGCTCCGACTGGGCTAATGTAGACAGACTGTACCATATAGTGGTTTATAAATGTAATGGGGTTTAACGTCCTACTGTTCTGCTCCGACTGGGCTAATGTAGACAGACTGTACCATATAGTGGTTTATAAATGTAATGGGGTTTAACGTCCTACTGTTCTGCTCCGACTGGGATAATAAAGACAGGTCGGTGGTTTCTGCGCTGGTGAAAGTAATAAATGTAGGCTAATCTTAGAAATAGCGTGAAATCTTTGATAAAGCAATAAAAATTGAATCTAGTGATGAACAAGGGTGAGTGTAATCAGTGGGACATGATGGGTTGCTAACACTCGGGACATCCCCTAGCCCATAGACTATTCCATCCATCTATTATTAAACCCCTTTTCCGATCCTACATGTAGATGCATTTACTTGATTTAATATTGGTTGTTTAGTAAGTACCTCAGGTGACCCTGTCTACACTACCCTAGTAACTACCTCAGGTGACCCTGTCCACACTACCCTAGTGACTACCTCAGGTGACCCTGTCTACACTACCCTAGTAACTACCTCAGGTGACTCTGTCCACACTACCCTAGTAACTACCTCAGGTGACCCTGTCCACACTACCCTAGTAACTACCTCAGGTGACCCTGTCGAATTGAAAATGAAAACAAGAGTAGTAGAGCAACTGTTTCAACAAATTTGTAAACTACATGGCATAAAACCGTTTTCATTTGACCCGTTTGTGGTGAAGACATTAATCCCTATTTCATACCATTTCATTTCATTAAAAGCGAATCTTTGTATGAAACAAAACATTATTTTTTCTGTTGAGAATCACGAAGGGAAGTAATATTAAATGTTTAATAATGTTGGGCTACTTGAGACATTTTCCTTAGAAATTGAAGAAGATTGCAGTCATTGTTATTTCGGGAAAAGAAATTATCTTTTATTTATCTATCTGATTCACATAACAAGTTTCCAGGAAAATCATGAATTCAGAAATCTTTTGACCTCGTTGTCTGGGGTTGGTAATCAAACATGGTTAAATCGTGTAAATCAAAATCAATCAATGTAGGTTAGAAAACAGTTATATTTCAAATAAATTGCTAAAATAATTCAAAGAGAGAAAGGGAGAATGTTCACTCGATACAAACTAGGTCATTTTGGGACAAAGAAAATCAATTTATTTCAATAATTCTGTAATGAGGCTAAGTGATTAAGACTTGCTAGTCTGGAGGTTACAGGTTCGCTCCTTGTGTTGGCTGAGAAAGTTCACCAGGATTTTCCGGCGTGATGTCCCCTTGTCAGTGGTGCAGGATGGAAGGCCTCACAAAGACAACAGTCTAGTCGCTTGGATGGGAAGAAAAAGATCCTGTGTACATAAAAGATCCCTTTGGAATTTGATATAAAAGTAGGCTGCTGTCCGGGCAAAATTTCCCTCATAGCACACTGTATGGCGTATCCCTGTCTTCATTAGCCCAGTTTAGGAGCAGAACAGTTGGATGTTAAACCCATTTCATTTCATTTCATTTCATTTGATGAATACAGTTGTATGGTGTCGATCACAGTATTAGAGATGATTTTGGTGATAAAATCAATATTATGTCACACTTATTGTCCCAGTCTTCTCGGTCGTTATTTCAATTATCATCTAATTATCTCCCCCTGATGGGCAAATATCAAAGTTGACATGACGACAATGGTTGTTATGGAAGTTGTGTTGCAATCTGATATATGACATAATTATTGTTGACAGAACCCCTTGAACAGAGAGGAAATGTAACATGCGATAATGTCCGTGAATTATTCTCTTCTACAAGTTTTAATTATGCACACAGAGAGAGAGAGAGAGAGAGAGAGAAAGAGAGAGAAAGAGAGAGCAACCGACCTTCAGGTTAACCACTCAGTTAAGGACTCAACATCTTCTCTAAGCCAATCTGGCTCCCTCTAATTAAAGAGAGAGAGAAAGAAATGGGGTTTGATGTCCTCTCGACACAAACTAGGTCCTTTTGGGACTAACATATGGTTCAATTTTATTTTAATAATTAGCATGCGCGTAGGGGTCTCTAGCAGTGGGAGGAAACCGGAGGACCCAGAGATTTGACAGGCAACCCTACTCCTTGTCACGTACAACCGGGGAATCCAAACCAGGCCAGTTGACTCAATGACAGACCTTGTGATACAACGCACACGTGCTAAACATTCGGCCACCCAACTCCCCTTGTCATATAGAGGGATATCAGAAGTAGAAGATTGAAAGTAAAAGTGAAAATTCTTCTCTAAAAGTGATATATTTTCGTGGTACGAACCCAGAACTGTATAGGGAGCTGCGGTGGCTCAATGAGTAAGATGTTGGCTCTCTAACATGGATATCCCATATTCATCAGTATTTTCCGGCATGTTTTCCCTTTGTCAGTGGTGCAGGACGAAGGGCCTGGCAAGGGACAATTTATAGTCATTCGGATGGGATGGAAAAACAAGGTCCTTGGCACCTTGACAAGAACACTTGACAGTTGGCCGTAACGCCCCTGTCCGGGTAAAATTTCCCTCATAGTACACTGCATGACATATGCTTGTCTTCATTAGGCCAGTCGGTACAGTGGAACTGTATGCATGTAATGGAGATCATTTAGACGTAATATCTATAAATAGTTTTAAATAAAAGAAGAATTATGGAAGAAATAATTGAGCATATTACTCTATAGCTTTGTTATTATATCTTTGTTAATAATTAATATATAAACTACTCACTGACACTGACTAACAATCGACACTTCCTTTATTACCCTGACAACCAACACTATTTTAGCTGTTTCCTGTCAAAACTTCAAACATTGATAATTTGGGTGAGAATAAAATAATTTGACTGAAATTTACAATATATATTGTTTTGTTTTTTTGTTATCCATTTTGAGTTATTATAGTGGGAACAACCAGCTCTTTATCTAAATCTTACATCTTTAAAATGAAGCCATCTCCACACAGAACCTTTTACAACTCAAAGTTATTCAAATTGTAAAGGGGCTAAATCGATAATAATTGGGACCTAGAAATGGACACAAATGGGTTGCAACGCATATAATAATGAAATATGAATGTATATAAACTGATTTACATTCAATCGTTTCTGTTTTTACTCTAAATTCAAATCAGTTATGTTTGGCTAAATACACCAGAAGCCTCAGTCGAATGGCAATCTCTAGCATCTGGTTATTCCAGTCTCCACCGATAGTATTTATTGCGCATGCTCTCCAGATAAGAATATGACGTCACCGTTTGACATATGTCTAGCCTCGTTCTTTGAGTCCCTTGTTACAAATGGCGTTGGAACGCATTAGGGTACAAGATTCGTGTACCAATGGTAAAATGTTTATTTTGTTTTAAATATTGGATATCAGTCACAACATCAATGTTGATTTAAATTAACAAATAATTCGCGTTTTCAATGTCGAAGAGTTAGAGACTTGGCTACTTTAAAAATTGTACATGTAATGAATTCCTTTTGAATTCTGAATGGTCTCTTATTTTCTGTAGCTAAAGCTGTTTTCTTTGTGGAATAATTTTATTGAAGCCTCAAATTATTCTCGGAATCAGTTGACTAAAAATATTAACAAAAATCAGAATAACAAATTGTTGGCTGTCATTTTGTTTTTGTCTGGTGACATGTGATATTTTGACAGTAAAATCAATGTTTCAACGGGATAATGTCAGAGTTCGAGATCTGCGGTGATGTTTTAGGATAATGAGTCATGGTATAATCGTACCCTCATTACGCGACAAAATGCCGAGAGATAAGTGATACGGGTTATAAATTTACATGAGAATACTGATTATGAATCAATATCTGCTGATAGTTGATTTATCTTTATTAGGGGTTGTTTATATTGGGAGGTAAGGGTACACAATGAAGAAGGTTCTGGCTCCCGACCAGGTCTCAGATTCCATAATGGTGTTTGTTGATATAATGGTGTTTGTTGATATAATGGTGTTTGTTGATATAAACTCCCTGAGATTTCGTAGCGTGGTCTCCTAATGTCAGTGGTGCAAGAGGAGCGGTCCGTCCCATCAAGGAACAAAATCTGGTTGTTCGAATGGCACGGAAAACCTAGGTCCTTTACACCTGAAATTCCTTCATTTTCCTTCATAGCATATTGCATGTTATATGGCTGTATTCAATAGGACGTAGATTGAAGCCCATCTCAAATATTGATGTCATTTATATTATTTGAAGCTCCCTAGGCACTCATTTCATAGCCATTTGCAAAAGTACAAATGACAAATTTTGTTTTTTATTTGTTAAATGACAGACCACTATTACTGGTATTAAACTGTTTTTATTACATATAATGAATGTTTATAATTAATCTGAACAAGTTCTATAGAATACATATATAGTTGTACCAGTACATAGATATAACATAGAACCAATAAGTCTCCCAAATATTTAGATGAAGGTTTAACATCAACTCGACACAAACTAGGTCATTTTGGGACTAACACATGGTCCAATTTTATTTCAATAATTCGCTTGCGCACAGGAGTCTTTAGCAATGGGAGGAAACCTGAGGACCCAAAGAAAACACACGAGGTTGGACAGGTGATCCTACTCCTTGTCACGTACAACCAGGGCATCAAAACCATGCCAGTTGACTCAATGACAGACATTATGATATAGCGCGCACATGCTAACCATTCGGCCATTCAAACCCCCCATTCCTGATAATAAGTTGATGTTTATTTGATAGAAGAGAAATAAGTTTTTATCTTCTTTCCTCGGCCTATTATCAGTGTAACAGCTGATGATTTATAATAGAAAGTGGTTCAGTTGGCTGTCTATTATCAGTGTAACAGCTGATGATTTATAATAGAAAGTGGTTCAGTTGGCTGTCTATTTATCATATAAATCCCTACAGTAACGTAAATATGGAGATGTCAAATAGATATTAATTACTACTGCCATGTAATTCCTCTTCTGTCACAATAAGATATGTTTAACGCCACAACATGGCAAACTAAAAACTCAAATATCGTTGGTGAATTGTCCATAGGGTGTATCTAAGAATTTCTAAAGATTAAGAAATAGAACCTTTTGCATTTCAAAATTTCCACAAATCAAGATACAACATTTGGACACATGATACCCAGAACAGTTCTAATTGGCGTAGAGATACACAGCTTAGACAGAAATGTGCATATTAATTGAAAGATTTTAAAAATGCAAAAAAGTGTATTTGACTAATTTCCCGAGATACACCCTTTTGACACTTCACCAACGATATAGATTTTCTCATCTTAAAGTAAGTAGTACTAAAGAGAGTAATAGGCCCTAAGCTAACCACGTGACTCTCTATTCACCCAATATACCCGGAAGTCTGACATATATTTAGGTCTATTTCATGCAGACATAATACAGTTTAATGGATCAAAAACAAACATGGCAAAGATTTTCATTGGCTATCTAAGCCGTCACTTAGTTTATTGTTTGATTCTTCAATCGTGAGGCCGAACCAAAAAGGGACATTTGGAGGGGAAAATAAGGCAATTAAAGACGACTTCCTGTACAAACTGTGAGATTTGGACTAAAAACATATTCAAACTAATTAATGTACTTCAGATCCCTCTCAAAACTTTGTATTCACAAGGAAGTACCCCAAGATATAAATAATCTGTTTTTAGAAGCAATGTTTGTCATATGATTTGACCATTTGCCATACATATTGAAGCCTGAGTAAATTCTTGTAGTATCTTCTGCCAACTTCTTTTTCCGCTGTTTAATTGCAGAGTCTGTTGTACGTTTAAACCAATCAATGTCCCAAATCCTCCTAACCATTCGATCAAAAAATAACAACTGCTCCCTGATATGGGAAGGAATGTCCAGAGCTGAAATAGACATTGTTATTATTGTTAATACTCAACTTACTGATCTAATCCTTATAGAAGTAGATTTCACAAATTAAAAACATATGGATATGATTCTTATTATATTAGACTTAATTTGTGCATGTTAAATAGTGACATATAGGTCCGATGGGCCGGATGTTGGTGTTTTATATTGATTTTCACATGTCATCTTTGTATAACTTAACAACTTTACTACTACACAATAAGACTAGCTGAATGTTGAAATAGGTATGTCCATATATATACACTAGCTATAAGTTGGGTTAGCACGTGCGCGCTGTATCATAAAGCCTGTCATTGAGTCAACTGGCGTGGTTTCGAATCCCTGGTTGTACGCGACAAGGAGTATGGTCGCCTGTCCAACCTCATGGGTTTTCTCCAGGTCCTCCGGTTTCCTCCCACTGCTAAAGACCCCTATGCGCAAGCGAATTATTGAAATATGTTGGTCCCGAGGTGACCTAGTTTGTGTCGAGTGGACGTTAAACCCCATTTCTCTCTCTCTCTCAGCTGAAAGTTGAAATAATTATGTTTGTGTACACCATTTGACTAGCTAGAAGTAAGTTGGAATAAGTAACTTTGTGTAGACAATTTGACTATCTGAATGTTAAAATATGTATGTTTGTTTATTTACACTATAAGTAAAACAAGTAAATATTTCTGTATTATTTCAATAAAATCAGGATGGGGAAATTTGATTTGATCTAATAAACCTCCGTAATAAACATCCTGTAGTGTCATCAGTATGAACAATAGCTGTTATCACTTGTGATAAACTCGGATATACCACGTATTCTGTTTGTCAGTTGGTATCCGAAATAACAGTAGGCTATACCTCTGCTGTCAGGCAAATTTTCCCTTCATTAGCCCAGTTGGAGCAGAAGAGTAGGACAATGCTAATGAAGATGGGCGTACACCACATGAAGATGGGCATACACCACACAGAGATGGGCATACACCACATGAAGATGGGCATACACCACCTAAAGATGGGCATATACCACACGGAGATAAGCATACACTACACAAAGTTAGGGGGTTGGATGGACGACTTTAGATTTCTTGGCAGACAAACCTTGATCGCTGAGCCAACATGGATTCCATCTGGTTTTCACTCAATAATAATGCCAGTCAGGTCTCGGATATAAAATTTATCTGGTACCTGTCAACTTGATTAGTACATATATTGTCTTTATTACCATGACAACATATATTTTAACAGGGCATCCCGATTTATTATACGTTCTAGAAGTGGCATCAGATGTTCTTAACAAACACACCATCCTTACATGACACCGGTATAATAATGTGAACATTTATATAGCGCTGTTCTACACTGTATCCTCCTTTCATTACACAGGTCCTCCTGTTTCCTCCCACTGCTAAAGACCCCAACGCACAAGTGAATTATTGAAATAAAATTGAACCATATGTTAGTCCCGAAATGACCTAGTTTGTGTGAAGTGGACGTTAAACCCCATCTCTCTCTCTCTGACTCTCTCTCTCTCTCTCTCTCTGTATAAGTAGAACATCCATGTTTTATTCAAATTATAGAAAACACCACAAGCAAAAGGTTTTTATCTTATTGTTGATGTTGGTATATTTACAGCATTGTAAGAATAGTCCTAGATCTAGTATAGTCATAGAACTATTTACACCGGTTGTACATAGAATATTAAAGCATAATATGGTAAGTACACATTTTACATTTTGTTAGTCTCATGGTTGAGATATTAAACCACAATTTACATTTGTTAGTCTCAAAATAATTTCTTATTCTGTTGATCAAATTAAAATAATCTAAACTAGATTTGACAACATGATTGTAATTTATCTTCAGCTCGTTTAGGGTATGATTTAATAAACTAGTGCTATAAAATCCCTTGCAAACTACCATCTTTATTTGCTGTGAATCAAATTGATGGACCTGTTTTTAAATCTGATTGAACCAAAGCCAGGAGATTCTCCAGCTTTGGTATTTTGATTTTGTTTTCTTAATTTAAAGTAAAATAATCAACAGATGTATATATTAATTTTGATTAAACATACAAGACCTAAATCTGCAGATCTTTCTTTAGGTCTGAAATCTTATCTAAATTATTAATTAGACATCAATTAACCTATCCAGGCCAAAATCAACTCTTGATGGCATCAGATTTCTCCGATATTAAATAGATTAGAACAAACAGTTCAGCCATATTTTGATTTAAGCTAAAAATGGAGGAGCGAGGAACAACCAGTACGGTGGTTGAAATTATTGCACACGTCTTGTCAAACCTTCAAAGGCTAATATTTTCGCTCGCAATAGAGTAATTTGAATGAAATTTTCAAATTATTCATTTTACATTATCTATTTTCGAACTGTTATAGCAAGAATGGCTAGCTCTTTATACTTAATGTATCTCTAAGCTGTAAGAAATTTGATATTTTTTTAAAAATACAAATGATGTATCATTACTTTAAATATTCCTTTAATTGTGACATTTATCCCGTTTTTATTTTATCCAGGATTTTGGGAAGTATCCAAGAATGCGGTTATTTGTGCAAGAATATATTCAAGCATTAAATTGTCAGAATGATGGCATCAGAGTTGTCAATACTTTTGTTAAAAGGTATTTTATAATCTCCTAGTTCTATTATATTTCAGACGCTGGCTCACTAGCCTTGAGGTCGGGTGTTCGATCCCTGCATTTACTGAGAAAGTTCATCCAGATTTTCCAATGTGGTTTCCCCATGTCAGCAGTGCAGTACAGAGGGCCTGACAAGGGCAGCTGTCTAGTCGTTTAGACGGGACAAAAACCGAGGTCCTGTGTGTACAATGGCATGCATGTATAAGATCCCTTGGCAGTTGGAATTTGATATACGAGTGGGCCGTAGTGTTGCTGTCCGGGTAAAATTTTCCTCATAACACACTGTATGACGTATGCCCATCTTCATTTGCCCAGGTTAGGAGCAGAACAGTAGGACGTTAAACCCTATTTCATTTTCATGGGGCCCAATTTGAGGAAATTGGTCAAATATGCCAAAAAACGTCCCTAGACGCATAACAAGGTTGTATTTGTTTTACTTGACATCTTGGTGTTAAGATGGAACACATTGACGTTAGAGTAAGCACCAGTGCGTTTGTGAAATAGCTTTATTTAACTTTCGCTTCCACCAAAATGATATCGCAGAGAAAGGGAACTTGATGGCCGAATGGTTAGCGCCTGCACGTTGCATCATAAGGTCTGTCATTGAATCAAGTTGCCTGGTTTTGATTCCAGTATGTACCTGATCAGGAGTAGGGTGCTCCGGTTTCCTCCCACTGCTAAAGGGCTAGCGCTCATACGAATTATTGAAATAACATTTAACCATATGTTAGTCTTGAAATGACCTAGTTTGTGTCGAGTTGACGTTGAACCCCTTCTCTCTTTGTCTCTTTATTCTAGCTGAGTTAGAATGTTAAACCCTATTTGATTGCGTTTAATTTGCGGGGATACCAGCATTAAGTTTTACGTAAATCCTGATTTGAAACCTGTGTAACCATGACAATCGTGTGTGTAATATGTTAATTTATTGAGTTCTTTTTCAGTATGCATGGTCCCGGTAGTTCCTGTCCACATCCTCGTGTTTTACCCAATATCGTGGCCGTCTGTTTAGCTGCCATTTATAACTGTTATGAAGACAAGAAAACGTAAGTATTTCTTGGTTTTGATAAATTTTAAAAGGGTGAATATTTATGGGTAAGAAGTGCAGTATCACCTCAATAGAGTGATGATATAGGGCCTGAACATCGAGGAGGTCTTGGGGGGGGGGGGGATGCCGAATAGTTATCACGTGGGCGCTGTATCTTTAAGGTCTGTCATTGAGTCAACTGGGGTGGTTTCAAATCCCCGGTTGTACATGACAAGGAGTAGGGTCGCCTGTCCAACCTCGTGGGTTTTCTTCGGTGCCTCCGGTCTCCTCCCACTGCTAAAGACCCCTACGCGCAAGCGAATTATTGAAATAAAATTAAACCATATGTTAGTCCCGAAATGACCTAGTTTGTGTCGAGTGGACGTTAAACTCCATCTCTCTTTCTCTCCCTCTCTCTCCCTCTCTCTCTCTCTCTCCCTCTCTCTCTCTCTCTCTCTCTATCTCTCTCTCTCTCTCTTACGTAATTCATCATTTGCTTGATAAAGATGAGAGTATCCTCATCCAAACGTCGCTTAGTATTAAACTCAGTAATTGTGTATCCATAAAATTGTACCTTGTGTTAATATGTTCAATAAATAAATGCCAACCAAAGAAAATATATAATTTATCTTTACCGTAGTGATGTCATATAACAAAAGTGTATAAATATTAAAAGCTCATATAGCCATCTTTTCGGCCATTAAATAGAAAATTATTTTCTTAAAATAGTTCATCTTCATTCTCTTTACACTTAAATATAAAATATTATTGTAAAAATATAACGGAAATGAATTTCTATATAAATAACTGTAATTACTAATGAAATTGTAGAAATATAATCGACAAGTATAATTATTATGTACGATTCAATTTAGAAGTGATACCCTGAAGGCTGTGTTGTGTAGAATATTGTAATCAGCCATTATTCTGGTATTGATTAAAGATAGTGTATATAATAACCTACATAATAAAACTCAAATTAATTTAAATATAGACATAGAAGCAGATTCAGTGAAACGTCCATTTTCGACCAATAACTATTGTATATTTATATTCTTGTGTAATTAATTTTAAAAAAACCAAAACAACCGTCGCAATTTGTGGAAGATTCGTTTTAGTTAAAGATTAATTCATTCTGAAGATTCGGGTTACAAAGAAAATTTTTATGCAAATAGCCTCAGCTCCCACAAATGAGATTGCCCCCCGCCCCCTATGCCTATGAAAATAAAGACAAAATAATATATTTATGTACCTTGTACCTTATTTCAAACTAGGATAATAAAACTAAAATCGATATAAAAATTACGATACTAGACAATTTTTATGTGGGTCTAAAATGAAGGGGGTGGGGAGGTGTTCGATGGCCGAATGTTTAGCACGTGCGCGCTGTATCATAAGGCCTGTCATTCAGTCAACTGGCGTGGTTTCGAATCCCCGGTTGTACGTGACAAGGAGTAGGGTCGTCTGTCCAACCTCGTGGGTTTTCTCCGGATCCTCCGGTTTCCTCCCCCTTCTAAAGACTCCTACCCGCAAGCGAATTATTGAAATAAAATTAAAACCATATGTTAGTCCTGAAATGAGTGGACGTTAATCCCAACTTCTTTCTATCTCTCTGTCTATATGATTGAAAGCAGAATTCTATCATTAATGTTAATAAAACATCAGATTGGATTATATGACAGAGGTTTATGATATATTCCTTGGTTGGTATTAGAATATATAGATTGTAGGGTGCCCGCTGAACAGAAGTACGGCAGATTTGGGTAAAATAACCTGTATTGAGCCCTCTGAGCAGAAGGACATCAGACATAGTTACCCTGGTGGGGTAATGAGCGATGGTGGAATGTGTGGAGATTCTCTCCCGTCACCCGAACCAACAAAAAATAAAAGCTCAAATAAACATGTTTCATTTAAGGCCCTGACAAAAATAGATCGGATTAATCCTTTACTTACATGTTCTGTAAGATTGTTTACAAAGAGTCCTAACAAACTTCTCCAATAAAGGAAATAGAGAAAGAGATGAGGTTTTCCTCCTCTCTACCCAAACTAGGTCACTTTGGGACTAACACATGGAATAATTCTTGTTACTATCTTTATCAACTGTTTTATTGGACCTAAGACTTTTGTTACTATCTTTATCAACTCTTTTTTTGGACCTAAGTCTTGTTACTATACCTAAGTTTCATGTACTAATTGTTTACAGCACCAGTTGTTAGAAATGTTGTATAAAATTAATTATGTTCATTTATAATTTCAGTGCTATGCAAAATAATTTGGATAGAAGTTTTGATCATGTAGAATGGAAAATGAGGTTAATGTGTTACGGAGCTATATTAGAGACAGCGTAAGTTTATAAAGTTAATTGTCTAGATAGGAGAGTAGGTGATCGAGAGGAGAGTAGGTGATCGAGTGGTCTACTGTGTGACTTTAGATCATAAGGTCACGTGACTAGTCTCAATCCCCAGGAGTAGGGTCAAAGGCCATCCTCTTGGCTTTTCTCCATGTTCTTCAGTTTTCCCCATAGTTAAAGACTTCCACTAGTTAAAGACTTCCACTAGTTAAAGACTTCCACTAGTAAGCTCAGCAGTCGGGAATGTGTCAGTTTTCCCCATAGTTAAAGTCTTCCACTAGTAAGCTCAGCAGTCGTGAATGTGTCAGTTTTCCCCATAGTTAAAGACTTCCACTAGTTAGCTCAGCAGTCGGGAATGTGTCAGTTTTCCCCATAGTTAAAGACTTCTACGAGTAAGCTCAGCAGTCGGGAATGTGTCAGTTTTCCCCATAGTTAAAGACTTCTACGAGTAAGCTCAGCAGTCGGGAATGTGTCAGTTTTCCCCATAGTTAAAGACTTCTACGAGTAAGCTCAGCAGTCGGGAATGTGTCATTTTTCCCCATAGTTAAAGACTTCTACGAGTAAGCTCAGCAGTCGGGAATGTGTCAGTTTTCCCCATAGTTAAAGACTTCCACGAGTAAGCTCAGCAGTCGGGAATGTGTCAGTTTTCCCCATAGTTAAAGACTTCCACTAGTAAGCTCAGCAGTCGGGAATGTGTCAGTTCCGTTTTTTGACGTCGATTGATATATGATCTTATAGTCATCCACATCGGTTCATCATGATGTGGTCCCCCTTGTCAGTAGTGCAGGATTGAGGTCCTGGCAAGGGACAAAGCATAGTCGTTCTTATGTGATGAAAAACCAAGGTCCTGTGTACACATTGGCGTGCACATAAAAGATCCCATGAGTAGGCTGTATTTTAACTGCCGGGGCAAAATTTCCCTCATAGCACACTGTATGGCGTATGCCCATCTTCATTAGCCCAGTCAGAGCAGAACATTTTGTTTTTTTTCATATAAATATTGTTTTTATAGATCTGAATATGAAGATTGGAGATGTGTATTGGGTAGTTTACTTCAACCTATACCATTTCCTGATGAGTAAGTTTCAACTTTTCTAATAATAGAACCAGACAGATTGTAAACAATTTTATCATCCCCCATCTGTCTGACCGGCACACTTAATCGAACAATATCACTCAGATTCTACTTTGATTGAAGATGCAAACGTGGATAATTTTTATGTCAATGGCTTGACCGGGTATATACAATGATAGACATTTTTGCATAGGCTAAGCAGAGGTGGACAATTTAATTGGCTGCCGAGAATGTAAAACACAATATCTCTGCTACAAATTGATGGGTCGTGTCACGGGTTGTACGAGCGGCTTTTGACCCTATGACTTCAGACATTGATTAATCAAACAGCGTTGACGTTTCTAGTGGTTTACCGACAGTTCCATGCATGGCACGCCAACAAGTCACCGTAACAGACCGTTTCATTGGCTTATCCCTCACTTCAACCAAAACGCCAGTAATATAACAACTCTTCCGGATCCTAGTGTAGTAAAAACAAGTAAAACGATATAAGATCTGTGTTTTAATCAGATTGGTTAAATGAATCTACATTCAGGTTAAACAAAACTTTAAACAAATGGTTTCCTGAGTCACTATGTCCACTAATCAGGAGAGACTTTTTAGTCAATGACTGCTGCAGCTAGGATCTGCTGAACATGAAACACTGTTTTTCGAAATAAGATCATGTAAATTTTAGTACCCACAGATAATTATATTGGCTGATTGAGTATCCAGGGATGCTGTCCAAATCACAAGCAATGTACAAGCAACGGTCTAGGGAATTAGGTGTCCAACGATGAAGATGTAATTAGGGTATTGACGTTCTGTCATTGAGTCATTGATTCCCCGGTTGTACGTGACAAGGAGTAGGGTCCTCCGGTTTCCTCCACTGCTAAAGACCCCTACGTGCAAGAAATTTATTGAAATAAAATTGAACCATATGTCAGGTCCAAAATGACCTAATTTGTGTCGAGTGGACGTTAAACCCCATCTCTCTCTCTCTCTCTCTCCCCCTCGCGCCTTATAATGAACTGCTTGGTCGTGGGTGTGCCTACATCTCCATCTCAAATGATGTGAATTCTATATATAAATATCAATTAGTTTATTAATAGTTTGCCTGGTTAAATACGTATCTATGTAATATAAGCAGTACTACATTTTAACACAGGCCTTCAAACTAGTCACCATCTCAATTATTTTTATATTAAGGTTGTCTTGTAACATCACATCATGTTCAATAAGAAATATAAAAAGTGTTGCTAGTGTAACCCAGGGCCCTCATCTCTAACTAGCTGATGATACAGTGAAGGACGGGATTAATTAAATAAACAGAGCTACACCTATAAATATGAACACAAGAGTATTTAATTAAGTAAAGATTAATAATATAATAACAATTGGCCTGAAAACAGGGGGAATGGCGACCTAGAACCCCAAAATACAATTTAGGTAGAATCTACACTTGTCTAAATCCTTGCATTAAGTGAAAGGCATAGAATTAAACCAATTTGGTGACAAATGTTGAAATCGTTTTCTTCTCCTGGTTTTATTTAATCAATAAATAATTCCAAATTATATGTTTTTATTATTTTAGTGCCATAGCTGATCAAGACTTTACTTCGTAAGTGTTGTCACATTAATCATATCATATATTTTATTAAAGATACATTGTGGGAGATTAGATACAGAGCTGGCAGTTCTCTTGAACCGAGTTGTGACATAGGCCAGGTGGTCTTGTAATACTACTTCCACACTATGGCCTCAGATATATAATTAATATAAGGAATCATGAGAGGGTTTCACCCATGCAGCACCAAGTAAACTGCTAATATAATAAGATGTATTGTCATATAGATACTATTTAATTTGTCCATCATCTGATGTTGTAATACTCCAGTTTCTTCTTTTTGGGAGAAAGGGGGATGTCGTATTGATCCTTTACTGGATGATCAGTATTGTAATATAAGTCATGTGAGACGGGAGTTATCTGCCCCTGTCGACTCTTCACTGTAATATATATATTGAAGATAATAAAACAGAGACACATACTCCGGAGTGTGTTCGAAGCACGAACATGTCTTGTGTTAATATATAGGGGGGGGTTTGAGATATGAATATGACCGTCCATCCACGTGCTGATATATAGAAGGCGTCTAGAAGGTAGTGATCCCAACACAACAGTATACTATGTGTAAATTTGTCCATCATCTGATGTTGTTTTTAATTGTCAGAAGTATGAAGCCCGTGATTGGTAATATAGCTAAAGATAGTAATTGTGACGTTCATCAGACCGTGTTGGGAATACGTGAAGGCAAGGAAGGCTGGTTCCATCTATATTGTCCAGGTGGTATCGCCTGTGATGACGAAGGCGAGCTATGGGGTAATATGGTAAGTTTCTAGACCCACCTGGATATAATCTACCTGTCACTGATAGATTGATATTATTTATACCTGTTCACTTCCTGCACAACTAAAACCATTATTTGTTGACTTTCCTCATTCAGATTATATTGTCGGATTCTAACACTACCCATTGGTCGAAAAAGTCCATCAGACTTTTCCGATGTGGTTTCCCCTTGTCAGTGGTGCAGGACGGAGGGCCTGACAAAGACAGCTGTCTAGTCATTTGGATGGGATGAAAAACCCAGGTCCTGTGTGTGCATTGGCATGCACGTAAAAGATGCCTTGGCAGTTGGAATTCGATATAAGAGTAGGCCATAGTGCCGCTGCCCGATCAAAATTTCCCTCATGTCGTATGTCCATCTTCATTAGTCCACATTCTATTACAGACCATGTTCGTAAACCCTGCGAACATAAACAATAAAAATTGTAATATATAAGCCTCTTTCTATTGTTTTTAACACGTGTCATTGAGTCAAGTGGCCTGGTATTGATTACCCATTTGTACGTGACAGGGTCGCCTGTCCAACCTTATTGGTTTTCTACGGGTCCTACAGTTTCCTCCCACTGCTAGAGATAAGTTCATCAACTTAAATAATCTGTTGGGTTTTTTTTTAACAGCTTGGAACTTTAATTCGATGCTGCTGTAGAAGAAAGAAGTTTTTGATTGGTATGACGAAGATGATTGGTCCCGTTATGTTACTAGCTTTAAGAGATACGGTGTCTGCCATGGAGGTATGTTGCCGCTGTTTGTCTGTCTGTTCAGGGTTGACACCTACACTAGGGCTGCCCCAAGGCTGACATTTGGTGTTTAGGGGTAGCTTGGACTGGGGAGTAACATAGGCTAGGTGATGTTGGATTACCGCTTCCGGTTTCGAAGTTACACTACTTTTAACCCATGCCGTGCTGGGTCATTCGCTAGTGAATAAATACATATAAACAGAAAGATTGACTTTTGACATATTATTAGTTCTTGGATTATATGTTCTATGTTAGAGTTTGTTTAATATATTACAGGTGTTATGTGCCATGTTAGAGTTTGTTTAATATATTACAGGTGTTATGTTCTATGATAGAGTTTGTTTAATATATTATAGGTGTTATGTGCCATGTAAGAGTTTGTTTAATATATTACAGGTTTTATGTGCCATGTTAGAGTTTGAAATCTTAGAGAGTCAAGATATGAAGATGCAACTAATAACAACGTTACAGAGTACGTCAGATGGGAAAAAAATGTACGCAGCCCTGTGTGATAGACAAATTGCTCTTCGAGAACTCGTAAGTTTCTTTAGTTGACTATATTTTGGGAAGGGTTGTTGTTTAAGCCAATTTTACCAGTTAGTCAGTTAGTGGAACGAAACGTTCGTTTCCACCTGGGGTGATATCGTAGAGAATCTGGAGAATTTATTTCGGTCTGTCAGTGGAAGAAAAGCGTGAAAATATATACAAATTTGCGATAATGTTAAACATTGTCATATGCTTGAAAAAAAAACCCTCGCACTCTGAGAAAAACTTGTGTCTTGAAAAAGCAATATATCTTGCTGAGATAATTAAACCCCATTTCATTTCATTTCATTTGTTTTCAAAATACTATTTTTTGAAAAAGATAATTATTTTAAAAATTATTTATTTGAATTACAGCAACAAAAAGGTGGACCAAAGAAACTGACTTTACCGTCGAAATCAACAGATACAGACTTGTCGAAGATGTTGAATTCGGGCTCATTCGGAAATCTGGAGTGTCTGAGTTTAGCGTTTACACAGGTTACGAGTGCGTGTGCTCACGATTTGATCAAATTACCTTCCTTACGGTATCTTAATCTCTGGTCTACACAGGTGAGATTTTAAATTGAGAGAGAGAGAGGGAGAGAGAGAGAGAGAGAGTAATAATTTCAGCCAAAAGAGGGCCCACAATTGCAAGGGCAATAACTATAAGCATCTTCATCTCATTGTGATTAAGTTTCAAGTCAATGAGATGATATCTGCAGTCAGTTATAAACTTAAAGTAGTACTTAGGTAAAACATTAACAGAACACAATTTCTATAGGATATCTAAAACCGGTTTATTTCTAGAAGTATGGAGTTTAAACAAGTATCCTCTTATCGTTATCAAGCACAATGCCATTTAGTTATACTTTACTTGAGGTCAATATATATGAATTAAAAAGATAAAAGATTCATACAACAAACACAGTGACATGACGTTAAATATAGCTATTTCACACACTAAATGTCATTGTGCTTGATAACAATAAGAGGATACTAGTCAAAACGTGGTGCTTTTAAAATAAACATTAGTTTCAAAAGCTTCAACACACTTTTTAAATTGATCAAGGGCAATAACTCTTGACCATAATAATTGTAAATGTTGGCCATCAAAAATCTTCTTTGTCTCGTGAACTTAAAGTTTGTGTATACGACCACATTTCTATTTGGATATATATATATATATAGACTATAATCATCTTAATTGTGTTTTTATACAGTTTGGTGATGGTGGACTCCAGCTTTTATCCGAACATCTTCATAAACTTCAAGTTTTAAATTTATGTGAAACTCCTGTTACAGATAAAGGTTTATCGTCGCTGGCAGGTAGGAAAATACACCTGTTAATATATACTACTTCTGAATTTATTAACATGCTAGAAGTAGTATATATATATATGAGTGTTTTTAATCTGTGAATTATCTTATCAGGATTATGTAGTCAAACGTTTGGAATATTTCGACTAGGAGTTCCAAAAGGTTTGGGAGTGACAGTCAGTAAGTAAGGCATGGGTTGACAAACCAAGGGGGTAACAGGTACGAACTCTGTATTAACCAAAACAGTTCATCAGAAAGCAGGAGGAGGGTCATGATATGGAACAACTTTTTGTTGTTCAGATGGGACATTTTACACGTTGGCGTGTTTGTAAAAGAAACTATCGACAAAGAGTAGGTGCGGAAAATTAGGACGCTAAACCCCCTTTCATTTCAGCAAAACAGGATTTAAAGACATAATTTTAAGACAGGTTTGAGATGGGTGAGGTGTTGACTGACTAAATAATTCTAATTGTTAAGTAAATCTAGCTGGGAGTCAATCTCATTAAAATACAGGTCTGTATTTCGTTTCGTTTTTTTATACTTTCGATGGCCTACACTACATGAAGATCTGACCGATTGTACTGGAAGGTCGCGTCAGGGGTCATACGAGCGGCTTTTAACCCTATGATGTCAGACATTGATTAATCAATCAGCGTTGACCTTACTAGTGGTTTACCCACAGTTCCGTGCATCACACACCAAGAACTCGCCGTAACAGACAGTTTCATTGGCAAATCCCTCACTTCAACCAGAACACGAGTTATATAACAAGTCTATCAAATCCTAGTGTAGTAAAGACAAGTAAAACGAAGTGTTGAAGTAAACGAAATGAAATAGGATCTGTGTTTTAATCCGATTGTCTGGAAGTAGGGGTCTCTCTTTATTGGTTTTATTCTTTCCGCGGGTTTCCCACCAATTATGAACAATATTAAATTTATGACATTGTGTTTTCTTTTTCAGCTTTAAAGAATTTAAGGAAGTTGAATTTAAACAGTACAAGTTTATCAGCCTTGACATTTGAGGGGTTGAAGGTAATTCTTATTATTATCAAACATCAGCCAATCAACCAGGTCAGGTAGTGATCAACGCAAACTGCTTGATTATAAACCATGGATACGGTCTCAATATGTAAAAACAGTTGAAATAAAAAATTTATTCAAATTAAGTTGGGCAGTTTATATATAAAAGAAAGTTAAATTTTAAAAACTTAATTTTGATTTCACTTTTTGGCGTGCACGCTAAAGATCCCTGGACAGTTCTAATCGATCAATAGTAAGCAGAAATGCCACTGTTGGAGCAAAATGCATTTCCTGGCAGACGGCATGGCGTCTGAAATTCTGTCCGTTATTACTAGGCCATATAATTATTAATAGTTTGTTGTTGGGGATTGGATGGCTGGATGACTGTATCATAAGGTTTGTCATTGAGTCAGCTGGCGTGGTTTCGATTCCCTGGTTTTACGTGACAAGGAATTATTGAAATAAAATTGAACCGTATGTTAGTCCCTAAAGGACCTACTTTGAGTCGAGTGGACTTAAACCCATCTCTCTTTCTCTCTCATTATTATTATTTATTATTATTATTATTTACAGGAGAAGTTACCGTCACTACAGGAGTGTGACGTACGATATACAGATGCGTGGTGATAAAAGGCCTAGAGTTGTTGACACGTCTATAAACTAAGCCTTAGAATATAATAACTTCTGTTGGTACCTCTAGGGGGCGCTCAACATTAATTGTGCCTATGTTTTTATTTTATTAAACTGGTAATCAATACGTAACCTAGTTTATAGTAAATAAACTTCACTTCCACTGGATGTCAAAGTCTTTTATCGATGGATACACCAACAACGCTGTGCGTTAAAATGGAGTATGATATATAACTACAAGAGATATTGTCAATTGAAGTGTAAAACATATAACGGAAAACTGTGTTTAAACTGGTTAATCAGGAAAATATCTCCCGAAAGCTGTCGTATATTTCAAAACGACATCCAAATTAATAAAAAAAACTCAATTAATGAAGTGATGGTTTGTGGACATGTCGGATGATATATGTTCATCTAGTGGATTTCATTGGTCAGTATATTTATATAAAATATCCCTTGTGTATATATATATACATGTGATGACCTATTATTCATATAACCTGTGACCTTTGACCTATTATTCATATAACCTGTGACCTTTGACCTTTAAAGTGCTATAATGTTACTTGTGAGAAGTTGACTCAAATGCAAAATGTCAAAATAAAATGGATTTAAAATAAAACGTTTTGTGGAAGTGGAATAAAACCCAAGACTATACACAAAGCGATTTGCAAAGAGTATAAACATAACGCAAACGTAAGGCAAGCAGGAATATAAAATAAGAGAGGCAAGAAACATAATCTTGCTATTTCGTGGGAAAATAAGTCGTTTGTATTTCCCGCGCCCTGAAGAGAACTTTTCCTTTTAATATTTTATTTGAAAGATTTACAGTGCATTAAATACGCTTGGATTTAAATGTTGAATATTGTTCGTGTTGATTGTATCGTTGTTTGTTTTATAGCTTGATTTCTACTGTCTGTTTCATATTTATATATGTATATACAAGTTGTCGTTTGTCAAAATGATTCAGATATGTTTTTTTATTGATATTACACCCTTTAGGTGTACTTCAGGTGCACGTTAAAGATCCCTTGACTGTTGTATTGGGAAGAATGGTTAAGCAGAAGCGCCACTGCCTGGGCTAAATTTCATTTTCTCCTTTTATCTTTGCACAAGTATGTTAACCCATGAAATAATAAAAATGACCAAAGAATTTTCTATTAGCATTCTGTACATAATGTCCATGTTATAATATACAAGAATCTGGAAGTCTCCGATCACCTTCAAGGATTGTAATAAACTACAAGACTCGGGGGTGACTCGAGATCCCGCAACTTGTTCCAACCTCTGGTATTAAGTTGAGATAAATAAGTTGCTTTTGTTGTCACCTTAAACGATATGTCCACATTAAAGAACTGCTGCTATTTTTTTATTTTACATGTTATATGGGTACATAACGTAAATATTATATACGTACATAACGTAGATTAACATACAACTGTATGCCATTGTCTTTAATTTTTTAAAAGATGCATTATGTAAGAGCTAAATTGGCCTATTGCAGATCTTTATTTCCACCTCAAAAGTTAAATAAATTATTAATAAGACATATATCCTCTCTCTAGACCATCAGATGGTCGTGATTTTCAGTGGATTGAAATGTGATCGCCATTTAATAACGTAAAAATGGATAATCGAGACGGCAACAATGATATTCGAGGCTACAAGGTTTCTTGGCTTAGACTGAAGTAATTTGGTTGAAATTATCAGAATATTCCCTTTACATTATCTACTTTTTAACTTTTATAGCGAGAACTGTCAGCTTTTTATCTAATCTCCCATAATGTATCTTTAATTAATTGAAGAAGGATAATTAATTAGGTAGACCAACTGTTGATTATATGGTATACAATAGAGAATATTCCTTTATCTTGTTCTGAACAAACTTGTCAGGACTTCATATTATTATTAATTATTGAAACAAAATTCTCGATATTTGAAGATATGTTATAGTTAATGATAATTTCATTTTAAATATCATTAAAGGATGCTGGATATTTTAATGTTAAATTATAAGTTTTTTTTAGAGATATATATATTGAGACGGAATATCTGCTGGCAGGTTATAATAATCTAATACCATTATACAAATATATTTTAGCCCATTATTTTTGCATTCTGTTCCCATTAACACCATTTTCAACTTTTGTTGTTTTTTTTTATGTTAATTATAATAATTCTGCATGAACCCATCATGATTTTATGTATGTATGGACATGACCTCCCAAATTGACTTGAAAAGTCAGTGCGAAGATCAATTCACAGAACACGATGCTAAGGAATACATCCACAGTTTATTATTCAGCAACGATTTTACTTGGATTTTCGGGGGGGGGGGGCGACGTTGTATCATAACTTCTGCCCTTAAGTCTGTTTCGATTCCCCGCTTGTACGTGACAAGGAGTAGGGTGGCCGGTCCAATCTTGTGGATTTTCTCCGGGTCCTCCGGTTTCCTCCCACTGCTAAAGATCCCTATTGAATTATTGAAATAAAACTGAACCATATACTAGTCCCAAAATCACCTAGTTTGTGTTGAGTGGACTTAAACTCTCTCTCTCTCTCTCTCTCTCTCTCTCTCTCTCTTCTTGTGAACCATGTTTAGTTTAAAATATGTAAACTAAAACAGGTTAAGAAGAGCCAAGAAGTTGATAAATTTAATTATTTTTGTTGATAAATTTAATTATTTTTTCACCTGGAGAAATAGTAAGTGTTCTTGAAGAAGTCAGGCCTGTAGCTAGCGGTTGGGCAATACGAAGCCAACGACCAATAATGTACCTATATCAGTAAGGGCGCCCCATAAAGCTGAGTGACAGTGGTTGAGCTGCCCCCCTTGCCCGCCCGCTAGCTACGGGCCTGGAAGTAAACTCTTGAGTTGGTATGGCAAAGGTATATAATCACATATAGAGGTTTGTTTTGTTTTGTTTTTGTTTTATTAGCTGATTCTGCCAATAATTGTTTGTTTATTTTAAATTGTTTGTAATTATATTTTAGATTTAATACTTGCATTTGTTTTACACCAGTATATTGAGAATTCCATATTTTATTGTGTGCCAATCTTAAACATAAATTATTCAAGAAATACATGTAAATCTGCCTACTGCAGGTCTTTCGTTAGGTCTTAAAAGTTATATAAATTATTAATTAGACAATTATTAACTTGCCAAGACCATAATCAACTCTTGATGCCATCGGATGCTCAAGATTTTTTCCATGGATTTAAACACGATTGGTGGTTAATGATGGATAATCAAGACTTTGTTTACTATGGTAAAAATGAAGTAATTTGACTACAATTCTCAATATGTCATATATATAAGGGTTAGGGTTGAAGTATTATAGCGAGAACTGTCATGTACATGTTTAGTTTATCTAAGTTTAAAACCATTTGTTCAGGGTCTTTCCTACAACAGGTCATGTTTTATAACGTAGGCTGAACCTCGTTCAAATCTCAAGATGAACACAATGTGGTCAGTCGGATTGATTCTTTTTAAGACAAATCCTAGCAAAAATCTTCAAGGATTAGTCCTGTAGGTTATTGTTCTCGTCTGACGTCTGCTATGTTGGTCAGATTGAAGAACATGAATAGGACTTGTTTTAGGATTTATCCAATCTGACTAAAATACAGATCTATATTCTGTTTTGTTTTTTTATATTTTCGATGGCCTACACTACATGAAGATCTTGTCGGTTGTACTGTGAGGTCGCGTCCGGGGTCATACGAGCGGCTTTTGTCCCTATGACATCAGACATTGATTAATCAATTAGCGTTGATGTTTCTAGGGGTTTACCCACAGTTCCGTGCAAAGCACGGCAAGAATTCGCAGTAACAGACGGTTTCATTGGTTAATTCCTCACATCAACTAGAACGCCTGTTATATAACAACTCTTCCAGATCCTAGTGTTGTGAAGACAAATAAAACGAAATTTTGAACAATAAAAAATGAAATGAAATAGGATCTGTGTTTTAATCTGTGCGTTTGGAGGCTGAGTGGTTTTAATGTTAGTGTGTTAGATCATAGCGTCTGACATTGTGTCAAGTCCGGTGGTTACAAAGGAGTAGAGAGCATCTGTCTGGGATCACAAGTTCCCTCTCACTGCTATAGACCCCTATGTTAGGCCTGAACATCCCCCAAAAAATCTGTAAACTACAGGACAAATTTTATCCATGTTGACACAAAAGGATTTATTTTATAATTCCTAAAGATAAATCCAGTAGTGTGACTCGATCAGATCATCAAAACTGTTCGAAATTATATGTGCAATGTCATCGTGGAAAACTCTCCTTGTTGAATATAGACAAGGCAGTGGACTCGTGCAATGTATATATTTATATATTTATATTTATCAATATATTTTGATTGTTGTATTGTCACAGATCCTGCTTTGTGTATGACGTATCGTTGCAACAGTTTGATTAAAATATAAACACCTGGCTTCCAAACTTCAATTTTATTAACCTGGGCTTTCCCTTCAATATTTTGCCAGTTGATTAAATTTTGACTTTCTTTGTTTACCATGAATTAGCAAGATATTGTAAAAATATCTGACAATCTTAACATTGTCCAATTTTTTGAACATATTTCTAAGTGATTTTACGGATAAAAACTCTAAATTTAACATCATTTATTATGTTATAAATGTAAATTCTGTTGAAATTTGTTTATTTTATGTCATGTGAATTACCTGACAGGTAAGTTTTCATGCTGGTCAATATGACATGTCAGTCTGTCACGACCGGTTATATATGCCTGAAATGAGTGGCCTTGTGTTTATCCGTTCGTACTTGTTACATGTTAATATTAATTATCCAGGTAATTTTTTCTTAAAGAAAATCAGAAAAAAGTTTTATATTGTTTATACCTGGATAGCCCCCAAAGCATCGGAAATTTGGATTACCCAAGACAATGTCAGGCACAAAACCTCTGGTACCTGTCATTTTGTCAGGCACTGATTTGTCTTTTTTATTGATATTATTAATACATGTCCGATACTAAGTTGAAAATGTCAGGTACTATTTAATTAGTGCCTGACATTTTGTCAGGTACATCTAAAACCGTTATTTCCAGGTGTGGCTAGATCTGTGAATAGTGATATAATTAATACAGGTGTATCATCTGATATTACTACTTCCTAGATCGTCCTCCGCTTGTACGTGACAAGGAGTAGGGTCGCCTGTCCAACCTCGTGGGTTTTCTCCAGGTCCTCAGGTTTCCTCCCACTGCTAAAGACCACTACGCGCAAGCGAATGATTGAAATAAAATTGAACCACATGTTAGTCCCGAAATGACCTAGTTTGTGTCGAGTGGATGTTAAACCCCATTTCTCTCTCTCTCTCCTGAAAACGCCCCAAGCCATGGGAATAACCCTCTCAATGTATACTAGTTCTAGAGAGTGCCACTGCTGTTCCCATGAAGGAGTAGGGGGGGGGGGGGTGGATAGCCGAATGGTTAGCACGTGCGCGCTGTATCATAAAGCCTGTCATTGAGTCAACTGGCGTGGTTTTGAATCCCTTGTTGTACGTGACAAGGAGTAGGGTCGCCTGTCCAACCTTGTGGGTTTTCTCCGGGTCCTCCCACTGCTAAAGACCCCTACACGCAAGCGAATTATTGAAATAAAATTAAACCATATGTTAGTCCCGAAATGACCTAGTTTGTGATGAGTGTAAGTTGAACCCCACCCCTCTCTCTCAAGTCAGGTTGGGACCTTTAATTAACTAGCATGTTGGGACTATTGATTAACTGGCAATTTAGGACGTTTGATTAACTGAATTTGTATCCCAACATTATAAAATATTGTTGTTTGTTCAACTGAATCTAGAAATGTATTTTAATCAATCTGTGAAATGTTTTTATTTCTGTTTTGTTCTGTTTTTGTATGTACTGATTTACCTGTTCGTCTGATTTACCTGTTTGTCTGCTGACTTGTTGATGATTTTTCTCGTGTTGGTGTTTGATCTTTTTATTGTGATGAACATTGACTAATAAATATTCTAAATAAAAATAATATACGACTTGTTTTCTTCAGCAGTAGGACCACAGAGGTAGTCAAAATCATCCAACTTTTGATAGATCTGTAATGGATAGAGTCAAAAACCTTCATTGATGGCCGCACTGGACTCCTCTTTAGAGTGTCCAGGAAATGGAATGAGGGTTTAACGTCCTACTCCGACTGGGCTAATGAAGAACTGGGCTAATGAAGACGGGCATACGCCATACAGTGTGCTATGAGGGAATTTTTGTCCGGGCAGCAACACTATGGCCTACTCTTACATCAAATCCCAACTGTCAAGGTATCTTTTACTTGCATGCCAATGTATACACGTGACCTCGATTTTCGTCTATCCGAATGAGTAGACAGCTGTCCTTGTCAGGCCCTCCTTCCTGTACCACTGGCAAAGGGAAACCACATGGAAAAATTCTGATGAACTTTCTCGGCCAATGCAGGGATCAATCACGCGACCTCCAGGCTAACCAGCCAGCATCTTAATCACTTAGCCAACATGGCTCCCAAAATAGCCCTTTTTCCAAATATCTAATACTATAACAAATTTTAATGACTTATCAATTATTTGTCCATCTGATGTGATACTGTGCACCAATCACAGTCTAGGTTTTTCTTTAAAGGTTAATCTAATTTGAAAGCCTGAAAGAGCACAATAAAGCTAACAATTTGATTGGATAATTCAGAATGATTGACACATGTCTGATCTGAAATCTTAACAATTATTGGCGATTGACACATTTTAGTCAAGATAATACACTGTTTTTGACATAGTAACCATGGTGACTGTGAATGGTTTCCTCTTGTCAGTGGTGTAGCCTACTGAAGGTCTAGCAAGGAAGAACATCTAGTCTTTAGGATGGGATAAAAACCCTAGGTCATGTGTACATGCTCGTAAAAGAACCCTTAACAGTTTGAATCTGATTAAGGAGTAAGCTGAAACGCCACTGCCAGGGTAGAATTCCCTCAGAAAAATAGGACGGGTATGAATCGCCATGGCTTCTGAGATACCAATAAGATAGGCAATGAAACATATGCCCACAGCAGCTTTGGTATACAAAACATTTAATAGGAAGGGTCACACCTCTGGGGAAGGAAATTGGTGAAAATCAATAGGTCACTTTGTCTCATGACCTTAAACACTGTGTATAAATTTAAAGTCAATCGGATATTAACAAGATTTTTCAAAGTGATCAAGTGCCATAACACTGTCAGTAATTATCGGAAATAGTTGAAAATCAATAAGTGTACTGAAACACTATGTATAAAGGATATTAACTTTAGCAACTGGAGCATTCACAAGCAATTGTGGGATGGACAGAGATTTCAAAAGGGGCGTATAAAAAAACTGATTATAAATAAAAACAAGACAGAATGCTGCGTAACAAAGATAGTATTTATTTATAATAATATAGAAAAACACATTTTAATATTTATAGGTACTCTTAATTTATAATACAAAAACTATTTAATTTACAATGTATTAACCACATATCAAGTTAATTTACAATGTATTAACCACATCAAGTTAATTTACAATGTATTAACCACATATCAAGTTAATTTACAATGTATTAACCACATATCAAGTTAATTTACAATGTATTAACCACATAATGTATTAACCACATATCAAGTTAATTTACAATGTATTAACCAGATATCGTTCGTTTCTAGAGTTTTACATCCACTTCCACCAGGGGTGATATCGTAGACAAGATATTTGGATCTATATATCATTTCTTCCACCAGGGGTGATATCGTAGACAGCCCCCCATATAATATTAATTTATATTTTGTATCAATACTATACAGTTATTACTATAATCATATATCAATACTATACAGTTATTACTATAATCATATATACATGCCTTAACAGTTACTACTATAATCATATATACATGCTTTAACTTTTAATCGAGTTTCAAACTCATATATTTATCACAATGGTTTATCTACAAGACCAAATAACACTTCTCCATCCTTATCTGTTTTCGAGTGTCACTTAAAAACTTGGCTGTTTAAGTGATTTATAATTGAGAGCAATATAAATGCACTTCGAGCAGATTTGTTTTGTAAAAAAAGTGAAGAAGGCGCTATATAAGTATCATTATTATTATTATTAATATTTTTTATTTATCTTACGAGGTTCTACTAGTAAGTGCAGGAGGACTGCAATACACACAAAACAAACCAGTGGACAAGACAAACTATACAGACATTACAAGAAATAAACAACAGATATCTAATCAAATGAATGGACCTGAGGGCCAGCCGTAAGCGTCCACTGTGCTGTACAGTGCCGGGCCTGTAGTGATACAGGGGCTTCACTGAATGGATCCGGGGGTCATCCGTAAGCATCCACTGTGCTGTACAATCCCAGGCCTGTAGTGACACAGGGGCTTCACTGAATGGATACGGGGGCCAGCCGTAAGCGTCCACTGTGCTGTACAGTGCCGGGCCTGTAGTGATACAGTCTTCACTCAAAACGAAAAAAAAAACAACATTTAGAAGCAAAATGTAAGGGGGTTGTCTCCTGAATGGCAGAAATCTGTCAGTTGACGTCATGAGTTAGAATTTTAACAATATGGATGATGGGTACAGGACCAATCGTCCATGGGCAATTTGTCTCCTAGGACTATTTGACCCTGGACAATTCATCCCCTTGGTCTTATTTGTCTATGGTCTAATGGTGGAAGAAATCATTAGTTTCCCCTCTTCCTGCCTGAAGACTATTATTTTCTGCCTATTTTGAAAACACCTTGGGTTGGTTTGGGGGTGCCTGCATTCATTGAACCCCAATTTTCAATCCTAGATCGAAAAGTAGGAAACCATCTAAACATATGATCATTTTTACAGAACTGTTTGTTTCTGTTATCTGGGACATATTGTCCCTTGGGGCGAACAGTCCTGGGATGAGTTATCAGGGGATGAATAGTCCTAAGGGACTAATAGTCTGGGCACAAATTGTCCTTGAATCAAGGATGATAATCCAGAGAGAATCTGGGAAAACAATAAATAAAATAACTCAAGTGTAGTAAAGAAGATTACTGATGTCTTTGATTATAAAACTGATTTATATTTACAAGCAAACATTATCCATGTAGCACAGGCAGATTCTGGGTACGCAAAAACACGCACACGAACACCCAGTCTCACTTGATCACCACGACAGTTTAATATTTCATTACAAACGGCGGAACTGGAAGAAAGAAGATAAAATTAGATTTTAATTCCTGTTTGCCGTAATTTAGAGGCAATAGGGTTTTGATTCCTACTTCTCCACCAACCGAGCAAATGAAGACTGACAAACTCAATGCAAATGAGAGAGAGAGAGAGAGAGAGAGAGAGAGTTTCAACTCCAGTCAACACAAACCAGGTCAATTCGGGGCTAACATGGTTCTATTTTAGTTCCCTAATTCAACTGCACGCAGGGGTCTTTAGCAGTTGGAGAAAACTGGAGGACCCAGAGAAAACTCACACAGGCGACCCTACCCCTTGTCACATATAATCAGGGATTCAAAACCATGTCAGTTGACTCAATGACAGACCTTATGATACAACACGCATGCGCTAACCAGCGGATTCCAAATGAGCCTACTTTTATTTGTATTTAAAACAGATTACTTTAATAAGTTAGTCCCGTCTGTAGTGCACCATTGACAAAGGGATAACTTGTGTAACTTTCTCTGGGCAACACAAGGATCAAACAGTGAGTAAGCCACACAAGACCTCGGTTTGTCAGCCAATCTAATGACTAGACAGCTGTCCTTGTTGGGCCCTTTGTCTTGCATCACTGACAAGGGGAAACCACATCGGAAAATCCCAATGAACCTTCCCGGCCAATGCAGGGATCCAACACGCGACCTCCATTTAGCCACCGTGGCTTCCCCCATTTACTCTAACACTGGGCTGTGTGGGACGTATTAAACAAGCTACGTAAATACTTACTTTAAACACGTGGAGAATATTTTTCTAGGGTTTCGATGTGTAAACTGGATTGGGTAACCTTTAAAATTATGATCTTCTAAAACAGAAAGTTTCACTGCATCTTGAAATTCTTCATTACCTGCTGAAATACCTGTAAATTAAATTTTTAATTATTAATAATTCTGTAGAGGAATGATGAAAGTTTCTGTTCATAAAAAAGCACCATCGCCCCCTTGCCAGAAAATCTAGTTTTGAGTAGCAATCGACCTTTCTGTCGACTTCACCCACAATAAGGTTTTAACTAATCAGCTCCGATTATAATTTCACGCGAAATGACATCACATTGTCAGAAGTCTTCACCTTAGACAAAAGTTTGTGATTGTTAAAAATTTGTCAAAGATCGAACGTCGTTCTGCTATTGCCATGCTTGTTTTTGTCTAAAGTGACATCATTATAAAAAGTGGGCGGAGCTACACGTTTGACGAAAAGTTCAATTAGAGGATACTTGATGGTCAATTGTTAATCTGTTATAAACTAACCCTAACCCTAACCCTGTTATAAACTACACTATGGTGAAAGTTAAATCTCTAATATCTGCCCACAAATGGTTTAATTCTGTTCAATGTATACCAAGATATGATTTATTGAAAATTTGGCAACTTTCGGCATCCATTGTAGACGATATAATAGTCATAGTAAGGTCTAAATATAAAGGTCAAATGCAAATTTGGTCAAAGGTCACAAGATATAAACAGGGCTAGCGCTAACCCAAAATCTCGTCTCTCGTCAACAATCACATGCCCTAACCCTAATTACATCTCACAACCATGGCGAAATCTTCAGTTGGTCTTAATATTTATACCTAACTATATAGTAAACACCAAGCCATGATTTTTGCTGAAGTCTTTTAATGGGCTTCTTTTTAACCCCAGTGAATCTAATTTTCCAACATTGATGTTTTTTATTTTGTTTTCTTAAACATACATTATGCAAGAGCTAAATCTACCTATTGCAGGTCTTTCTTTAGGCCTGAAATGTTATCTAAATTATTAATTAGAAATTACTTAACTTATCCAGACCATGATCAACTCTCGATGCCAACGCTAGCCTGCGATATTTATTGGATCATGATCCGATTTGCTGCTTAACTTTCATTTAATCATGAAATAGATAATCAAGCCTTTGTTTTTTATCGTACCAACTTTAGTAATGATGATCGAGGCTAGGCCGAAATTTTAATTGCTTAATTATCGGTTCATGTTGGATCAATTAGACTGAAATTTTCAGCAAATTGCCTTTACATTATCTAGTTTTTAACTATTCTAGTGAGAACTGTCATAATGTACCTTTAATTAAAGATTAAATAATGAATCTGATTACAGCTTAATTTGGATTAAGTCGTGAACAATTTGATTTTGTTTATAAAATACGAATGAAATACAGGAAATTTAACAGCTTACCTGTAATTAGATGTTAGACAGCTTACCTGTAATTAGATGTTAGACAGCTTACCTGTAATTAGATGTTAGATAGCTTACCTGTAATTAGATGTTAGATAGCTTACCTGTAATTAGATGTTAGATAGCTTACCTGTAACTAGATATTAGACAGCTTACCTGTAATTAGATGTTAAATAGCTAACCTGTAATTAGATGTTAGATAGCTTACCTGTAACTAGATGTTAGACAGCTTACCTGTAATTAGATGTTAGATAGCTTACCTGTAACTAGATGTTAGATAGCTTACCTGTAATTAGATGTTAGATAGCTTACCTGTAACTAGATATTAGACAGCTTACCTGTAATTAGATGTTAGATAGCTTACCTGTAATTAGATGTTAGATAGCTTACCTGTAACTAGATATTAGACAGCTTACCTGTAATTAGATGTTAGATAGCTTACCTGTAATTAGATGTTAGATAGCTTACCTGTAACTAGATGTTAGACAGCTTACCTGTAATTAGATGGTAGATAGCTTACCTGTAACTAGATATTAGACAGCTTACCTGTTACTCTTTCTGTTTCATATGAGGCTAGCGCTGGTGTTAATAAATAACTTAATTCATCGTCCCATATACTCGTTAAACCTTGATCCTAGTCAATTATAAAATTAGAAATAACTCATTCCATATAAACTCGTTAAACATTGGTCCTAGTATTTCAGGACTAACATGGTTCAATTTTATTCCAATAATTCGCATGAGCGTAGGCGTCTTTAACAGTGGGAGGAAACTGGAGGACCCGGAGAAAACCCACGAGGTTGGACAGGCAACAATACTCCATGTCACATACAACTGGGAAATCGAAACCATGCCATTTGACTTAATGACAGACTTTATGATACAGCACGCACGTGTTAACCATTCAGCCATCCGACCCCCTCTGATTAGTGAAAGGCTCAACTACTATAATAAGTCGATGTATGTTTAAAGTTACATATAGATATCTTGAACAGTATATAAGACATCATTCGGAAACAGTTCTGATTTTAATATCCCTTAAAAAAAACCTCCATGTCGTGCGTGAAAATTTGATTCCTTACCCGTCTATGTTCGGTCACCAGCTGCCTGAGTTGTTGTTCAAGATCATTACTTGAAAACGATTCATCTAGCGTAGAAGACGATAATGGTGGCCATGACGATTGAACCATAGCACCACAAACTGAACCAATAGCATCTTCTGACATACTCTTCCATAAAGATTCGTTATTTAAAACAAATCGACAAACTTCTACAGCATTGGAAGACTACAATAAAAAATATACACAAATAGAAGAAATGGGTGTTTAATGTCCGACTTTTCTAAACCAACCGTTTAATGAAAATAGGCTTATTTGTCATGCAGGATGCTATGAGGGAAAGTTTACCATGACCAGTGTTTGCACAAAATATTATTGAATCAATGTATCGCGATTTACGTGCATGCCCATGTGTACATGGGACCTTGTATTTTAGCCTATTCGAACAACTTTATGTAATCCCTCCATCCTGCTTCACTGATGATGGGGAATCATGCTGGAAAATCCTGATGAACTTTCTTGGCCAAACACCGGGATAAAAATCAGGATTTTGAGGTTAAAAAGAGAGAGAGAAATGGAGTTTAACGTCCACTCGACACAAACTAGGTCATTTCGGGACTAACATATGGTTTAATTTTATTTCAATAATTCGCTTGCGTATAGGGGTTTTTAGCAGTGGGAGGAAACCGGAGGACCTGGAGAAAACCCACGAGGTTGGACAGGTGACCTTGAGGTTAGAAAGCCAATTTCTTACTCACTGAATCACTGTGGCACCCAAGTTTGTTTTTTTACCTGATTATTTGCGTAGAATTTTCGATGATTGAAAACACAATCGACTGTTTTATATGGATATTTGACACGATTCTGTTTGGACATTGGTGGACCATCTGGATCGAGAGGCTCGTGAATATATCTACAATAATCAAATAATATAATTATAAATACAATATGAATGAGATGATTACATGCTGTGTATCTATCTATTCTTATTTCAATTTCCAATTGTTAGTGGATCTTTAACGTGCTGTCAATGGTTTAATGTCTAATCAAAACAACACTTTCACTTGACAGACCCTCCGTCCTAGGCTACTAGACGTGGAAATCAGGTTAAGTCTAGCTCACGACCTGCCGTACGTGCTATTACGGGAAAAGTTTAAAGATACATTATGGGAGATTTTAATAGAGAGTTGGCCATTCTTGCTATAACAGTTCAAAAGTAGATGATAAAAGAAGAATATATTGAAAATTTCAGTCAAATTACTTTATTCTGACCAAAGTTATCACCATTGTAATTTTTGACTAGAAATAGGAGTCAAATCCCTCTTCACCGTCTACCAGAATGCAGGCCGTTTGATTGACATGAGTTAACTCCACCTACATAATCTCGATTATCAAGTAACGTTTTCAATTCGTATCACATTTATTTTTACTACAAATTAAAAATAGGACTTTTATTATATAGATAAGAGGCGAAAGTTTTAAAGGAATTGACCAAATCAATGAGGCATAATTATAGCCGACTTGTTAGTCTGCGTGTACTCCCGAAGCAGACAAATTGGGGCTGCATGGGCTGCAATTCAACTGGGGTGATGTTAGCTGCGATGTTTATCAATTTCCATAATTTTTCTGTAAACGCAAGTGACAAAAGAGCGTATAATACCGTATATATCGAACTTTCAATCAAATTGACCGACATATGCGGCCTCGCTCAACAGCGGCCTCGCTTCGTACACTCTATCATTCAGGCTCGATCTAAAATTTCCCGGAGTATGACGTCCAAGTACAGGTTAATCTCAGCTTACGACGCCATTTAAAGATTTAATCAATCAATGAAATCCTGTTTAAATCCAAGCGAATCCATGCCATCCGTGGGTCTATGACATCTGAAGCCTAAATAAAGACTTGCAATAATCAGATTTAGTTCTTGCATAATGTATGTTTAAGTATACCTTGTTCGGCAATGTAGAAAATTGCAAACTGGCCGTTTCAGACTTTGGTCTTGCACATAGAAAATTTTCACCTGGTTTCTTGCGGCTGGTCTGCGAGCTACCTTTACGGTCCATATGTGTCAAAATACCGACGGTGGGTAGTGTGATAGGCTTTAGTGAACATTATTTCTCAAAGCATTCTCAGACTTAAGTTAAGAATTTACTCAAACTTTTCCGCCTTATTTTAACTAAAATGTAGCCCTTTATAAACCTCTTGTTGTTTTAATGTATCAAATACACCAATAAAAAACTATGTGCTAATTTTTGTGTTCCTGGATCAAAGATATTTCTCATAAACAGTGACTGAAAGTTGAGTAAATTCTGAACTTAAGTCTGAGAATGCGTTTTGAACTCGGGGGGGGGGGGGGGGGGGGGGGGGGCCTTGTTAATGAAATAGTGCCATAATACCAAGACACCCGACCAGGATTGATGGACTTTCATTTATGTCACTTCAGAATCTTGCAGACTTTCCTTATTAGGCAAATGAAATGGGGTTTAAAGTCTTCCTACGACTAGGCTAACGAAGACGGGCCTACGCCATACAGTGTGCTATAAGGGAAATTTGCCTGGAAAGCGGCGTTACGGCCACTCTTATATCGAATTCCAAATGTCAAATAATATTTTTATGTGCACGCCAATGTGTACACAGGACCTTGTTTTTTCATCTCATCCGAACGACTAGAATGCTGTCCTTGTCAGGCCCTCCATCCAGTCCCATTGACAAGGGGAAACCACGCTGGAAAGTCACAATGAACTTTTCTCAGCCATCTTTACATTTAACTGAATTGTAAAGATAATTCTCCAACCTACCTGTGGCCATTTAAACTTTCCCAGAATGTTGCTAATCCATCCGTTCCTAGCGTCATGACCCAGGCGTGTAGTGAGCCTTTATTTCTCGTTCCGATACAAACATACGCATCTAAACCAAACCCTAATAACAAACTACATAGTAACGTGGCATGATCCTCAACATCCTGAAAATATAACATAAATCCATCAACATCCCTAAACATAACATACCTCAATCAACAAGATATAATTAAACATCTATCTACCTCTAAAACAAGATATAGCATCCTACTTTATTTCATTAACAGTGCCAACTATGATGGACATACACCATGCTATGAAAGAAATTCCTCTTTTGATTGTTGACTTCAACAGTTCTTCTACGCTCATTGCAATGTGTGGACCATGTCTTTTGTCCCATTCAGATGTTGTTTTCCTTGATAAACCCTCCGTACTGCATGATTGACAAAGGGAAATCAGACTGGAAAGTTTGTAAAAATTTTCTCAGCAAACACTGTGTGAGAACATTGAAACTTCTGGTTAGGGAGCCAGCGTTTTACTAAAACTATGATTTAAGGTACACCTACCCCTCTATTCATACACAAAAACGAATGTATATTTGTCCACTGTTCTTTTTTATCTTGTCCAAGTGATTTAGGTTTATCATGATGAATCAATCCCACAAATCTAGCCGCCTGACGAGGTGTTTCTATTAGACGACCAGCACGGAAGGGTTTTATATACGATGTTACAGGTTTATTGTTTCCGTTCTCATCCTATAAATACAAAATTCAAACCCTTAAATATCCTATAAATACAACATTCAAACCCTTAAATATCCTATAAATACAACATTCAAACTATTAAACATCCTATAAATACAACATTCAAACTATTAAACATCCTATAAATACAACATTCAAACTATTAAACATCCTATAAATACAACATTCAAACCCTTAAAGATACATTATGGGCGATTAAATAAATAGTTGACAGTTCTCGCCATAATAGCTAAAAAATAAATAGTTGACAGTTCTCGCCATAATAGTTAAAAAATAAATAGTTGACAGTTCTCGCCATAATAGCTAAAAAATAAATAGTTGACAGTTCTCGCCATAATAGTTAAAAAATAAATAGTTGACAGTTCTCGCCATAATAGTTAAAAAATAAATAGTTGACAGTTCTCGCCATAAAAGTTAAAAAATAAATAGTTGACAGTTCTCGCCATAATAGCTAAAAAATAAATAACATCAATAGAATATGCTGAAAATTTCAGTCAACTTGCTTTACACTGAACCGAGATATTAATGATTGAATTTTAGGCCTAGCCTTGATCATCATTACTAAAATCTGTACGATAAAAAACAAAGTCTCGATTATCTACTTTGATGTTAAATCATCCATCACCAAAATGTATTCAAATCCAGTAAAATATTGCAGGCTAGCGATAGCATCAAGAGTTGATTATGGTCTGGAGAAGTTAATTAATGTCTTATTAATAGTTTAGATAACATTGCAGGCCTAAAGAAAGACCTGTAATAGGCAGATTTAGCTCTTGCATAATGTATGTTAAATCATTATTCAATAGATATTTTTATTGTTCCAAAATTTGAATCCTTAAAAGACAACGATTACTTCATTGTGTTAATAGATAGTCAATTCAGATGCTTTGCAATTAGAAAATGTTAAATGAAATGAAATGGGGTTTAACATCCTACTGTTCTGTTCCAACTGGGCTAATGAAGACGGGCATACTCCATCTCCATACAGTGTGCTATGAGGGCAGCTGCACTATTGCCTACTCTGAATAACTAGACAGCTTTCCTTATTAGGCCCTCCATTCCTGCACCATTGACAACGGGAAACCTTGCCGTAAAATTGCCAGCATCTTACCCACTTAGCCACCGTAGCTCCTGAGAAAATGTAAATGAAATGGAGTTTAACGTTCTATTCTGCACGAACCTGTCTAATGAAAACGTGGGATACACCACCGTGTGGTGTGCTATAAAATACAAATTTTCCTAGACAGCGGAACTATGGCCAACTCGGCCAAAACCAGTACTCAACCCGCGAACCTACTGTTTAGCAAATAAGCTCCTTACTCACTGAGCCACTGTGATTGGTAACCAAATCTAAATCAAATGAAATGGGGAAATGGGGTTTAACGTCATAATGTTTTGCTCCGAATTGGGCTACTGAATATGGGCATAGGCCATGCAGTGTGCTATGAGGGAAATTTTGCCTGGACAGTAGCTCTACAACCTATTTTTGTTTTGAATTCCAACTGTCCAGGGATCTTTTTACGGGCATGCCAATGTGTACATGGCATCTTGGTTTTCGACCCCATCCTCGGACAACACAGGGATCGAACACGGAACCTCCAGGCTAGCGAGCCACTGAGCAACTGTGGCTCCCAAACTTCTAACATACGTTACTTACAGTAGCAAATATTTTAACGATCCTATCTTTATGAGCATCCCTTATTTGGAGATATTCTTCCCACCACAGGGAGGTATAGGTTAGAAATCCTCGTTTTCTGTCAGCTTGACGATGTCTTTCTAATTCTAACTGAGCTCGTAGAACTTCTTCACGTAAAGGGTCCGGAGGTTTTGGGAATAATTCCATCTGTATGATCAATATTCCTACGGGAACTTGACTCTCTATACCTGAATTACAAAAAACAAAATTATTTTAAGACACATTATTCATATGAGAGATGGGGGTTTAACATCTACTCGACACAAACTAGGTCATTTCGGGACTAACATATGGTTCAATTTTATTTTCATAATTAACTTGCGCATAGGAGTCTTTAGCTGTGGGAGGAAACCGGAGGACCTGGAGAAAACCCATGAGGTTGAACAGGTGACCCTACTCCTTATCCTGAACAACCGGGGAATTGAAACCACGCCAGTTGACTCAATGACAGGCCTTATGATACAGCACGCACATGCTAACCATTCGGCCATCCAACCCCATATTATTCAAATGACAAACCCATAATCAACGCTCTAGATCATCGGATGCTTTTGATTTTCAACGAACATAAGCATGATTGCTAATGAATTATTTAGTTCAAAAATAGATAATTGAGATTATTTATTATCGTAACCATGGTAGCAATGACAATCGAGACTACACTGCTCAGAATGAAGTCATTTTAAATTTTCAACATATTCAATTTTCATTATCTATTTTAGAACTATTACAGCAAGAACTGTCAGCTTGTTATCTCAATCTTACATAATGCTTCCTTAAAGTTCAAAAATGAAACGGGGTTTAACGTCCTACTGTTTTGCTCCGAACTGGGCTAATGATGACGGGCATACGCCATACAGTGTGCTATGAGGGAACTTTATCACATATCGAATTCCAACTGCAAAGAGGATCTTTTACGTGCATGCCAATGTGTACACGGGACCACGTTTTTTCATACCATCCGAAGGATTAGACCTTAAAGTTTAAAACTGCTGATCATCATTGGAGGGATTTAGAAATTACAATACTGGAAAAGTTGAATTTCTTAAAAAAACATCATTAATTCAAAAAAAGATTCAATTCCATTCATTATTGAGAGAGAGAGAGAGAGAGAGAGAGAGAGAGAAGAGTTGAATTTCTTAAAAAAGCAATATTAATTCAAAAAAAGATTTAATTCCATTCATTATTGAGAGAGAGAGAGAGAGAGAGAGAGTTTAACCATTCGGCCATTCAATCCTATATTTACAATTTTCTTAATTAAATTCTAAATAATCAATTTAATTGCTGAGCCAACCGGAAAATGTATTTATTAAATTCTGAAGCTATTGAATTCAAAATGGTATCAGAATTTAGGAAATACAATAAATAAGTTAAAATTGTCTTTGTTACGTCTTTTAATTAGTACATGTGCATATTAAAGTGGATTAAGCTAGTGAAAATTTGATATTTGCCATAAAATGCAAGATCGGTGACTGTAATTATTTTTTGATTTCTATAATGACTGTTGAATAATCTGCAAAACAAGGTGGATAATTTTGTCCTAGCAGCACCATACACACACCCTTCCATGTCAAGCTGTCACGTTACCTGTAACATCAACTATTACCTGTTCCTTTTAGTTCTATAGAAACTTTCATCTTATTTTGAGGTGAGGTGAGGACAGGTCTCCATTCAAAGTAATGTGAAGCGACTAGAGACGTATTTCCCGTTGAATCTGTTTTGATGAGAACAATGTGAACTGGATCAGATATAGACAACATGGAGGTATTGTCAGCCATACGACCAGCTTCACCTAAAATACCAATAACATGAAAATATAATTAACCATCGTGTTAATATTAAACATGAAAATTATTAACCATATTAAACATCATGAAAATATTTAACATTGTGGAAATATTAAACATTGTGGAAATATTAAACATTAAACATTGTGGAAATATTAAACATTGTGAAAATATTAAACATTGTGAAAACATTAAACATTGTGAAAATATTAAATATTGTGAAAACATTGTGAAAATATTAAATATTGTGAAAACATTGTGAAAATATTAAACATTGTGAAAACATTAAACATTGTGAAAATATTAAATATTGTGAAAACATTTTGAAAATATTAAACATTGTGAAAAAAATTAAATATCGAGAAAATATTAAATATTGTGGAAATATCAAATATTGTGAAGAGATACAAAGACACAAGACCTCATGATTTAAACTGAACACGTTCGACTACTCACACTGTAACACGGGTATCATTTAATCTTGTGTATCTAGCACTAATTTCTTTCACATTCGTTTAATATCAAATCTTTGTTTAAAAATTCATGAAAATCATTTAAAATCATCTACTTTGTACTTGTGTCCAGTTTAAAGCTGACTGATTAATTTTGATAATGAGTGTCCGATTTACAAGTATTTAATTTCCTGACCACTGTACAAAAATTAATCGTTATACATCAATAATCAATTGGGTTGTTTATTTTTTAACAGTGATTGAGAAATTAAACACTTGTAAATTGGACAGTCTTATCAAAATTGAATGGTCAGCTTTAAACTGGACATAAGTACAAATTAGATGAATTTTGGTGATTTTAAATGATTTTTAAGAATTTTTAAACAGAGATTTACTATTGAATGAATGTGAAAAAATCGGTGCTAAATACACAAGATTAAATAATACCCAGGTTACAGTGTCAGCCATCCAAACCCCACTACAAAAAAAAAGGTACCTGCAGATTCTTTATGAAGTTCCAGTAAAAACCCTTCATCGAAAGCTGGTTCACAAGCACATGGTATTGGTTTCGTCTTGAACCGCTGACTACGGAAATGAATGTGAAGTGTGAAATATGAGGTTACTTTTTGCCCTGGCAGCACCTCTGTTGTATGAAGATGTTCTAGGAATGCCTTTCCTTCCTGTATAGTAAGATATAAATGTCTTCTAGACGGATCAATGTTGACTGAAAAAAGTAATTGTTAACTTGGAGTTACTGCTTACAGGTTCCCTTGTTCAAATTTCATCTATTTAGGGTTCTTTTCAGTGACAATGTACAGTCATTCGGATGGGACGAAAAACTGAAATCCTGTGTCCACATTGGCATTCATGTAAAAAAGCCCATGGCAGTTGGAATTCAATATAGCCCATTCAATATAGCCCAGTGAATATAGCCCATTCAATATAGCCCATTCAATATAGCCCAGTCAGAGCAGAACAGAATATTAAATCCCATTTCATTTAGGTTTTTTTTCCTGTGGGATGAAAATATTCTGATTGTGAAGGTTCTACTCAACTCACGTCAGGGTTTTTACTACCACAACCCAATTAATGAACATAATATGCCATTCTATAGAATTCCCTGTACAAATATACAAATATCTATTGAATTTGGAATGCCGGATAATAAAAATAGTCTGCTTTGAATCCAACTGTCATTTCAGACTGAATTTGATTTTCAGATACAAGTTTCCAGCTTCATTAGCTCAGCTGCAGCAAAGATACATGTGAGTTGCCAGGCAGAGAAACATACGTCCACAGCAGCTAAGTTGTTCAGACAGACAGGGTAGAAAATATTTACAACACATTATTAAGTAATTATCAGAAATTATTAAAATTTGTTTGGCGTCAAGATCTGCCCTATAAGCTTACTAACATTTATTATACAAAACATTTAATATCAAGGGCCATAACTTGGGCATTAACTATCGGAAATCGTTGAAAATCAATAGACTTCCTCATCTTATGACCTTAAACACTGTGTATAAATGTAAAATCAGATACTAACTTTAGTCTCTGGAGCGTCCACAAAATATTTCAAAGTGATCAAGGGCTATAAGTTAACTCTGGTAGTAATTATCGGAAATCACTGACAATCAATAGGCTTCGTCGTCTCATGACCTTAAACGCTGTGTATAAATTTAAAGTCTATCGGATATCAACTTTAGCCTCTAGAGCGTTCACAAGCAATTGCCAGTGTCGGCGGGCGCCGGACTGAGCGACGACAATATACCTCATTGTAATGTGGGCGAATAAAAAAGTAGGAAGTCATTTAAAATGGTATATTATTCGTGTCTTACCTTTTTTAACTTGAGCTGATGTTTGCTGTCGATCTTTATTGGTGAAATGACTGACAGGTTTAGGAATGTTCATTTCACCATCAAAATGCATCTGTTTCATGATATTATCGACCACACCCCTTTCTCTCAGTTTTCTCATCAATTCATTTTCACTGATATGTCCTTCTTTACCCTCAAACTCCGTTTTAATCACTTCATCTAGCACATTACGAATATGTCTCTGGATATCATTCTGATTTGAAAAAATATAACAAAAAATTAGCAAATTTAATTTATTTAATTGCAAACCGGTAACGAAATGAAATGTGGTTTAACGTCCTACTGTTCTGCTCCAAACTGGGCTAATGAAGACAGGCATACGCCATACAGTGTGCTATAAGGGAAATTTTTCCCGGACAGCGGCACTACGGCCTACTCTTATATCGAATTACAACTGTCAAGAGATCTTTTACGTGCACGCCAATGAGTACACGGGACCTCAATTTTTTCAACACATGCGAAGGACTAGACAGCTATCCTTGTCAAGCCCTCCGTCCTGCATCTGTGACAAGGGGGAACCACGCCGGAAAATCTGAATGAACTTTCTCTGCCAATGTAGGGATCAAAGACCCCACCTCCAGGCTAGCGAGCCAGCATCTACCAACTTAGCCACCATGACCCTGCAATACGGTAACTACAATACACTGTAGTCAGGGTATCATTTAATCTTGTGTATTTACCATAATTTTCTTTAACATTAATTTAATATCAGATGTTTGTTAGAAAATCGTAAAAAGTAAAAATCATTTAACCTCACCAATTTACAAGCATTTAATTTTTCCATCACTGTTCAAAAATAAACAACAGCAGTTGATTATTGGTATATAATGAATAATCTAGGAACAGAGGTCAGGAAATACTTGTAAATTGGACACTCATTATCAAAATTAATCAGTCAGCTTTAAACTGGACACAAGTACAAATTAGATGATTTTAATGGATTTTTACGAATCACAAAGAAAACATGGTTTTGTGCTTAAAGGTGTTGACCCGTTATCACTGTTTCCTGGAGCTTGGCGAAGGCGTCATCACAACTGAGCTTGTGCTTGGCTTCACAATTCAAGGAATTGGCGAGATTTTTCTGCCAAGTCTACTCTTTATCTGGTCCATTAAACCTATCAGCACTCAGATGGCAATTGTTCACATCAAAAACTTCCCTAGATTCGTGCTGTACACTGTTGCCCCATATCACAAGAGCAAATTAGACTGCCATGCACGGCAAGTTTTAGTGACCAGGTCCCGAATCTGCTGACACTGAAAAAAATGTCTGGCAGGTAGACAAAGGTAATTATGTTCCTGTACAGAATCTTGCTAGAGTCTGTCTGCCGAACTCACAAAATGTGATTGTAAAACAGGCTGCACAGGACTATGCAGTTGCCGCAATAATGGCCTACCTTGTACATCTCACTGCACGTGTTTTGATACAGACTCTGTACCAATATGATCAGGGACGTGCAGGGGGACGAGGATTAGACGAATAACTCAAGTAGTGGATTGCGTTGTATTTATTTCCAAGATATGAATTTTGATCATTTCGTTTCTGGTGACATTTGGGTTGCAAAGATTCTCTTTGTTTTTGATATTTTAACTGGTTTGCTCCTTACAAATGTATCTTGAACCTCATGACAGAAGACTGAACATACTAGAGATGCCCGTAAGAAGGTGGTGATTAAATTGATTGAGGTTGAATCAAATGAATATCAAAATATATTAACAGCAGATTACACCACTCAATAACTGGGCCTAAGAATTGTTTATAGTTAGGCCTACAGTTGGGAAAAGATACATCCCAATGCATCTTGATTTGACATCATCACCATGAAAATGATCTCACTTTCCATGTCATGAATGATGATCATTATATTATGATGTTGCATCACATTCATCAAGCTATTGAAAAGAAAATGACCGTGTTTCTCACTTGTGACAACTGGCTATTAATTATCTGTTTCAATTCATTAATTTTTTCGTCAGGCAGAGCCATTGTGGAACAGTTTTTCAGGAACAAAATGACATCAAATCAAAGAATTCACGTTGTCAATACGATATGTCATGTCATGTTTCGAAAACGGCCGGGGAAATGGACGTTTAAGCATGCGCACACACGAAAACACGGAAAGATCAAGGTCGAATATGGAGGTCAAGGTTGGTTAATGTTGACGGAAATGACGTCAGACCACATGAGGCTCACTTTTATAAACAAACAATGATGACGATGATGTTGTGATAAAATTGTTGTTATTTAGAATTAGATAAAGTTGACAGTCGTGTAGAATTAAATATGGGAGGCACGGAAAGTAAGGACCACGATAGAGATGAATCAAACTATTTCTCAGATGAAGAGAATGTGAAAATACGTGAAATATTCTCTAATTTATGTCACACAAGTAAAAAACAACAGGTTGTTCAGTCAACAGATTTTGTGGTAAGGTTTACATTGGGTTTGATACATGATGGAATTAATATATCCGAATTTCCTGTCTGTCTTTCTCTCTTTCCCTGTTCTTGCTATAATAATAGTTTAAAAAATTGGTAATGAAAACAGAATTTGCTGAAAATTTCAGTCAAATTGTTTCGCCCCAAACGGATATATAAGCGATCATTCAATCAATTTTAGGCTATTATTATCGGTCCTCATTTTGGTATGATAATAAACAAAGTCTTGATTATTCATTTTAACTTTAAATCATCCATCATAAAACGTATTCAAATTCACTAAATATTGCAGCAGGGCTTGGGCCATTACATTGCCAATGTAATTAATTACATTACCATTACTTTTTAAATGTAATCATTACAATTACTTTCTCATTTTTAGCAATTTAATTGATTACCATTACCCATTACATTGAAAGTAATTAATTACCATTACCCATTACTTTATGACTATATAAATAAAAAAAACATTTTTCATAGAAATTAAAAAGACAACCTTATTTTTCTGCCATGAAGTACCTACAAAATCAAACTCAAAATAATCATTGATTCACAAAATAGATATTTGTTTATGAATTATTATTTCTAGCAATTATAACATCAAGGCAAATTTTATAGTGACAGGCAGTGGTGACAAAAACTGACATTAACTGTATTTTCTTTTAAGTAATTTTTTTAAAATTGTAATCAGCCCAAATAGTTTTTCTATAATATATTGTATAATAACTGGTAAATTATTCAGCATGACTCTAAAACAGATATATAAGTTTTAAGTAACCATAAAATGAAGAGATACTTGAAGGTCATTGTTTGGTTTGACACTTGTTACCTTGAGATTAAGATTAAAGTGCAGTAAGACTATTTATTGTCTTTTAATCTAACTGACTGATTGATTGACTGAGTGATTGGCTGCAAATTAGTACTAAGCTTTGATTATAATATACATCTTATCAGAAATCCACTTCTTAGGTTACATGTCTAGAAAATTGCATGCTGATTTTCAAAAGGAGAGATTAATCAACTGACTGCATAAATACCTAGTTAAGTACTTCACTCTTCTAAGTTGTAAATGTATTTCTCATTATGTAATCTATGATTAAAGGGACCATCCCGATTTTAACAGAGTCTCAGAAATTTAAAAATTACTTGTACGTATGAAAGTTAAGCGCCAAAATATAGAGGAACAGTGTATTTACCTTGTCTCAAAATTTCAGCTAAAAATATTGAGTTGTTTGGACGTGAAAGTCAAAACTACTTATCTGGACATGTAACTCTTTCAAGATTTCGGATCAATTTTTTTGTTGGGTGTCCTGATAATCTATTGAAATTTCTTTAGAAGTCTATATAGTGCATGACCCACATGCTGTACTTGATAACGAAAGGTAAATTTCACCTGCGTGTTATTTTTATAAAATAAAAGCCTGGTTTTATCCAGATACCGTATAATACAGCTTGGAACACCGGTCTCTGTTTCCGGATGAAGACTGACAGGTTTAAGTTGTTAAAGGGACAATAACACTCTTGCTGGCTTGACAGCTCCAGAAAATAAAAAATAGCCTTATTCTAAGTACTAGATGCGTTAGTGTCTTACCTGTTGTGTAAATTATCCATTAAATCCTATTTTACTTGTCAAGAGGATTCAAAAATATTTTTAAATCCAAGTCACATTTGAAAAGCTTTACGTCAGGCTTTTCAAATCATTTAGTTGAATTTTTCCAATTTTTTAAATTAAGTGTGTTAAGATGAAATTTGTATCATCAATTAATTGGAATATTGTAAAATAGTACAATTTTTTGACTAGAATAAAGATTGGGACATATTATTCAGTTACAACAAGAATGGTATTGAGCCTTTAATTGCTCGGCCCTAAGGTAGATGATTTTAAGGGCTTTTAACACAAAATTAAGCAGTTTAATTCTCCAAAATATAATAGAGATTGGCCCTTAAAGTAGATTTTATTATAAATTCCATTTCAATGATCAGCTATCTGAAGACTTGACGTGTTGATTGATATCGTAGACAAACTTCTAGCCAGTATGTTTATTAGCTAAGTCCAGTTGACAGGTGTAAATGATGCCACTACATGTACATGTATGATATATTATTTTTACTGACAATAAATTCATCACCTGTAGAATCATTTTATCCAACGTTGTAAAACTGTAGCAAGAAGTTCTCTATATTAAAGTTAAAGGATGTCATTTTCATTTTACTGAATCTATTTCTAGACATTGCTATGTTAAATTTATGTAAATAAATATCATTAGATTGATAATGAATAACAAATATTACTTCAACCATTTTTTAATTTTGTTTGGCCATTGTAACCAAAATCTTTGGCTGTGTTGACCAATACGGAAGCGTATAGGGGTCATGCAAAATTTTGAGATCCTGCGATACTGTGATACTTTCTCGAAATCTCAATTTAATGTTCTCGAAATCCCCTAAAAATTTTCTCGAGAATCTCCCATCCTGTGTTGACGATCTCGAGAATTTGAGTTAATGTTCTCGGGATCTTGCCATCCTGTGTAAATGTTCTCGAGATCTCGGGTATTTTTATGTGTACGCGTAGTTTTAAAGTATTTTAATAGCGCTACAGTTTTAACGGATTTGTTTCAAATTTATTTTAAAGCATTGGGGCCATGAGAGGACGGTCCCTCTCGCTTTTAGCGCACCTCGTCGTTCTGGAGTTATTCCCCTTATCCGAAAAACTTATTAACGCAATAGAGGCTACAGTTTTTAACTGATTTTGTTTTTCAAATGCGGTGTGAAGCACTAGGACTTTTCGATTTTCAGTACTCCTCAAGCTTCTGTTCGAGAGTTACCCTCTGTGTATTTCTTTAAAATATGTGACGATGAGAGGACGAACCCTATCGATATTCAGCATTCTGTGACCTTCTGTTCCTTAATATACCCCCCTCCCCGCCTGCTCCCTGAAAGCCTTGTTCACGCCATAGAGGCTTCACTTTTAAAATTTTGTGTAAAACTTTGGGGTCATGAACTTTATTGATTTTCAATGGTTAGCGATCTTCCGTTCCGGAGTTATACTCTCCATTCTTTGAAAACCTTGTTTTTAACGGATTTCCGACATTCAGTGTTCCGCGACAAGAATGACCCCTGTTAAGTTTCAGCCATATTAGGGTTTCCTTCCCATCCAGGGATATAACAAGCACGTGAACACAATAGAGATTAGATTTCTTGAAGAATGCTAGATCCTTATTCAATTTATTAAACAACCAAGTTTTCCTTTCGAATAATCTGCTGTTGAGACATAGATGCTGCGTGGGCGTATCTCCACACTTTGCGTGCCTATCGTTCAAATTTCTTTTGAATCATTAGTGTCATAAGCAGAGGAACCCTATTTATTTTCGGCGGAACAATGAACCTTATTGATTTGCAGCGACCCCTGGCGTTTTGTTATGGCGTTATTCCCATTTTCCGTTAAACCTTGTGAACGCGTTAGAACCCAGAGTTTTTCAAGATTTTTTTATTTTAAACCAGCTCTGAAGCATTTTGTGCCAAAAGACAATAAACTCTGTGTCTAGCTTTATTCTAAAACAAAATATGGTCTGAAAACCATGCAAAACATGACATTTTCTATTAAACGTCGCCCAAACATTAAATTTAAATAATTTAACAAGCATGTCTGTAATTCAAAGCTAACGTGGTAGGGTTTTGAATTTCATATTTGGTGTGAAGTATTTGGGGTCTTAAGACGATGAACCCTATCGATTTTAATCATATTTCAAATTTAGTGTAAATCATGGGTATCCTATCGATTGTCCGTTTATTCTTTCATTAGTTAGCAGTTTTCCTTTGTAACAAATGTTAGAGTATTTTTTTTTTATCAAATTTGGTGCGAAGTATTGGGCCAATGGTTGCTTCACAACGTGGAGACACTATCATATATGGTTTCATATTAACTCGGAACACTGAATGTCGGAAATCCGTTAAAAACAAGGTTTTCAAAGAATGGAGAGTATAACTCCGGAACGGAAGATCGCTAACCATTGAAAATCAATAAAGTTCATGACCCCAAAGTTTTACACAAAATTTTAAAAGTGAAGCCTCTATGGCGTGAACAAGGCTTTCAGGGAGCAGGCGGGGAGGGGGGTATATTAAGGAACAGAAGGTCACAGAATGCTGAATATCGATAGGGTTCGTCCTCTCATCGGCACATATTTTAAAGAAATACACAGAGGGTAACTCTCGAACAGAAGCTTGAGGAGTACTGAAAATCGAAAAGTCCTAGTGCTTCACACCGCATTTGAAAAACAAAATCAGTTAAAAACTGTAGCCTCTATTGCGTTAATAAGTTTTTCGGATAAGGGGAATAACTCCAGAACGACGAGGTGCGCTAAAAGCGAGAGGGACCGTCCTCTCATGGCCCCAATGCTTTAAAATAAATTTGAAACAAATCCGTTAAAACTGTAGCGCTATTAAAATACTTTAAAACTACGCGTACACATAAAAATACCCGAGATCTCGAGAACATTTACACAGGATGGCAAGATCCCGAGAACATTAACTCAAATTCTCGAGAAAATTTACACAGGATGTCAATATCTAAGGATAATTATCAGGGGATTTTGAGAACATTAAATTGAGATCTCGAGAAAATTACCAGGTGATCACGGGATTTCGAGAAAGTATCACAGGATCGCAGATCTCGAGACCTTCTACAAAATTTTGCATGACCCCTATACGCTTCCGTAGACCAAAGATTTTGCCGTTATTTTTTGCCATCCAGCAATTTGGTCAAAATGGCTAAAAAATCAAATTGTTTTACAAAACATTAATATATTCTGTCCTGAATATGACAATTAATTGTTAATTATTTTGACCATATTTAAAGGTAATATAATATAGTAATTTGTTTTGGTGTATGGTTGTTTTGTCTATAACAGATTAAGTTTTATGAGAGTATGGTTACATGAATATGTATACCTTCAAAAAAATGTCACATTTTACAACAAAAAATTATGACATATTGTTGGGAATGACATTGGATCAGACATGTATATAACCCTACACATGTTACTGTACATGTATATAACCCTACATATGTTACTGTACATGGTTTTCTTTAGTTGACTGTGAAAAGAGAACAATTGTTTAAACAGCAGTTTTGTTGAATGTATTATTAGGCCTATATAAAAACAGTTTGCTAGCTACCTGCTATTTTCATTTCACCTTATGTAGCCAGGTTGTACAAGTTCATGTCACCTGTTCTTGTATTCCATTGGAGGGATCACACAGCTCTTCTTAACCTTCATTCTCTTTTTATTTTATTTATTATAATGAATCTTGAAATATTGATCAATAGTGTTTTATTTGAGAGAGAGGGAGAGAGAGAGAGAGTGTTTAACGTTCACTTGACACAAACTAGGTCATTTCGAGACTGACATATGGTTCAATTTTATTTCAATAATTCGCTTCCGTGTAGTGGTCTTTAGCGGAGGACCCCTAGAAAACCCATGAGGTTGGACAGACGACCCTACTCCTTGTCACGTACAACCGAGTTATCAAAACCATGCCGGTTGACTCCATAACAGACCTTATGATACAACGCGCACACGATAACCATTCGGCCTTCCAGCCCATGAAAGTGTTACATTTATGTTCAATCAACACCACTTTTTGACACCAGAATCCAAGAAATTTCCATTTTGTGCTACAACGAAGAATATGTATTTTATACTTTACAGAAATATTGTGAGATATTACCGACAGTATTGAGTGAAGGTTTGTTTAAGTGGATGTCGTCGTCGTCATTAGATGGTAAACAATACCATGATATAACTTGTCAACATTTTATACAATGTTTAGGAAAGTTATTACGCGGAACGATAACAGAAAGATGTCATATTGTGTTATTTGTGACGTCTGATGGTCAAACTACGTCAACTGGAGATCAGTTAGTCAAGGTATCGTATTTAAACAATTTTATTAATGTTTCTTTAAGTTATAGATCAAACTACATCTAGAATTCTTCTTCTGTGTCTAATATTTTCGTATTTCTTAAAAATACATTATGCAAGAGCTAAATCTGACTATTGCAGGTCTTTCTTTAGGCCTGAAATGTTGTATAAACTATTAATTAGACATTAATTAACAAAACAAGATCATCAACTCTCCATGTCATCTTAAGTGTCAGATTTTCATTGATGATTAAATCCAAAAATGGATAATCAAGACTATGTTTTTTATCGTACCGACTTTAGTAATGATGATCGAGGCTAGGCCTAAATTCAAAAGCTAATATCTTGCTTCATAGTGGAGCAATTTGACTGAAATTTTCAACATCTTCTATTTACGTTATCTATTTTTTAACTATTATTGCGAGAATAGGCAACTCTTTATCTAATTTCACATATTATATGTATCTTTAAATCACTGCTGTACATAATTATATTTTGTAACTATGGATTCTAGATCTACTTACTCGAATAGATTATTGATTTATTTAATTACTGGAGATTCTTACTTCTACAATATTATTAAAGATGTATTATTCAATATTTAAATAAAGAGCTGACAGTTCTCGCTACATGTATAATAGTTTTAAAATAGATAATGAAAAAGGAAAATATTGAAAATTTCATTTCAAGTGAAGTTATGACTGTTTAAGGAATGGTGTAGTCTTAATTTTCATTGCTACCATTGTTACATGGACATGAAATGAAATGGGGTTTAACGTCCTACTGTTCTGCTCCAAACTGGGCTAATGAAGACGGGCATACACCATACAGTGTGCGAAGAGGGAAATTTTGCTCGGACAGAGGCACTAGGGCCTAGTCTTATATCGAATTCCAGAGGTCAAGGGATTTTTTACGTGCATGCCAATGTATACACAGGACCTCAGTTTTTCGTCCCATCCAAACGACTAGACAGCTGTCCTTGTCAGGCCCTCCGTACTGCATCACTGACAAGGGGAAACCATGCCGGAACATTGTTACATGGTTGATCATGATTCAATCTGTTCAAAATCACAACCATCTGATGATCCAGAAAGTAGATTATGGTCGTCATGGTAATAAATATCGAATTAATAATTTATATAATATTTGAGGCCAAAAGAAAAACCTGCAATAGACAGACATAGCTCTTACATAATGTTTCTTTAAAGAGATTTCCCGATTGACCAGTATTACACCCCCCAACTCGTCAATCTTTAAAGTGTTTTTTTTCAAATATTCTGTCGATAAAATTAAACAATGTTATGATTTGTTTTTAGTTTGTAGAGATGATATTACGGGTATTTCAACATGATTTGTCGTGTACTAAAGAATATAAAAGTTGGAAATTAATTACAACAGATGAAGGTTATCACAGATTGGCTTTAAATATTCTAGAAGATCTCTTTCATTCGGGTTAGTCTATTTCTACTACAAGTTAGAGGTTGTGGGAACAAGTTGCAGGACCGCGAGTCCCAGTCGAGTCCTAAGTTCCCGCACATTGTGTCCGAGTTGAGTCCAAGGTCGTCGAATACGAGTTGAGTCCCGAGTTGAGTCCAAGGTCGTCGAATATGAGTTGAGTCCCAAGTTGCCGCACGTCGAATCCAATTCGGGCCCCGCGGTAAATTAGGCAAGTTTTAATTATGTCCCCTAAATGCAACTCGAGTCCTTCACTATTTCAAATCACAAATTGTCATGACCTCCTAGTCAACGTTGATTCTCGGGTCACAATAAATATTTCAAGTCGAGTTACAAGTCAGTTCCCACAGCGAGGTTGGATGGCTGAATGGTTAGCACGTGTGCGCTGTATCATAAGGTCTGTCATTGAGTCAACTGGCATGGTTTTGAATCCCTGGTTGTACGTGACAAGGAGTAGGGTCGCCTGTCCAACCTCATGGGTTTTCTCCAGGTCCTCCGGTTTCCTCCCACTGCTGAAGACCCCCTACGCACAAATGAATTATTGAAATAAAATTGAATCATGTGTTAGTCCCGAAATGACCTAGTTTGTGTCGAGTGAACGTTAAACCACATTTCTCTCTCTTTCTCCCTTTCAGATCTTTATCTAAATCTCCCATAATGCATTTATTGTGTTCTAATGTTAAATTCTGTTAAAATTCTGATTTGATGACATGTCAATGTAGTGACAGGTAAGTTTTCCACCTGGTTAATTTCACTGCCCTTTTTATTATCTCGTAGGTTCGTCAAAAGATAAAGGTATGAAAATACCCACAATTCCACCACCATCACAGCCGTTTACAGAGACAGAAATAGAGGACTGGATGTCCAAATCTTCAATGTTTCTACAAATAATGGATCGAGTGTTTAGCCGATGTTTTAAGATCAGTTCAGTAAGTTGTACAATTGGTGGCTCAGTGATTAAGGCGCTGGCTCTCTGGTGGTCACAGGATTTTACCTGGTGTTGGCAGAGTAATGGCATCTTAGTTTCCTCTATCTGGTGGAGGGGGGTTGGGTGGCCGAAGGGATAACACGTGCATGTTGTATCATAAGGTCTGTCATTGAGTCAACTAATGTGGTTTTGATTCCTTGGTTGTACGTGACAAGGAGTAGGGTCGCCTGTCCAACGTTGTTGGTTTTCTCCGGGTCCTCTGGTTCCCTCCAACTGTTAAAGGGACAATAACACTCTTGCTGGCTTGAAAGCTCCAGAAAATAAATAATATCTCTAGCTAAGTACTAGATGGTTAAGTGTCCTACCTGTTGTGTAAATTATCCATTACATCCTATTTTACTTGTCCAGAGGGTTCGAAAATATTTTTAAATCGAAGTTTCATTTGAAAAGGTTTACGTTAGACGTTTCAAACCATTATGTTGAATTTTTCAAAATTTTTAAATAAGGTGTGTTAAGATGAAATTTGTATCATCAATTAATTGGAATATTGTAAAATAGTACAATTTGTTGACCAGAATAAAGATTGGGACATATTATTCAGTTACAACAAGAGTGGCATTGAGCCTTCAAAGACCCCTACGTGCAAGCAAATTATTGAAATAAAATTAAACCATATGACCTAGTTTGTGTTGAGTAGACGTTAAACCCCATTTCTCCCTCTCTCCCCTATCTGGTAGATGGCCTGGCAAGGAACAGTACCTAGTTATCCGTATGGGATGAAAAACAGAGATTTCATGTACACCTTCGGTTGCATGTAAAAGAACCATTGTCAGTTGAAATTTGACTGATGTCTGGGTAAAATGTCCCTCATAGCACACTGTATGGTGTATGCTGTCTTCATTAGCCCAGTCGGAACATAAAGGTGGGACGTTAAACCACATTTCATTTCATTTCATTCCAGATACAGTATCTAGGTGGGTCATCACTGGCCTCAAGAAAGTTTTGGAAATGTTCAAATTCAGGAGTGTGGCAGTAATGGGCTGTTGGCGGGGGGCTCAAAGATATGTTTTGAATAGTAATCAAATCAGAGAATTTGGGGCAACTTTCTTTCATAAAATCGGTTGGCCATTTTACAGATGTCCCAATACTACAGGAATCCCTGTGTTTATCAGTTATGGAGCTGGCCCTTACGCTTATTGTCATTGCTACAGATGTCCCAATACTAGAGGAATCCCTGCGTTTATCTGTAATGGAGCTGGCCCTTACGCTTATTGTCATGGCTACCTATTTTACCCCTTGGTGCACGGCACCCCACACAGTCTAAGAGGTGCATGCATTCTCTATTTCTCTTCTTTCTTCTGTGGACCGCATTTGAAGTCGTATTTCGTGATCGTTTGATTTTGTATATTTATGCATCATATTATATTTCAGGAAGGCGGAAATAGTTCTGGACGTTCTTGTCCCCGACTTCCCCTAGTGACAGATATAGACTGGTCGAAATTCACGTCCATCTTAGATCTTCCTTCATTACTCTACCTCAATTCTACACTTCCTGTTAATCTACAGACAGAATGGCGACTGTTGTTTAGCAACTGTCTCTATGGTGATAGTTTTGTTCAGCTGATACAGCGTATTGTATGTCACGGACCTACAGTAATTATAGTCAAAGATAAAAATGGTCATATATTTGGTGGATTTGCAAATGAAAGTTGGAAGAAAAATTCTAATTTTTATGGTTTGTACATTTCTTTTTAAAAATGGGTTAGTCGTGTAGACTAGTGTCCACTCTATAGAAAACGTGGGTTAATCGAGTAGACTGGTGTCCACTCTCTAGAAAATGTGGGTTAGTCGAGTAGACTGGTGGCCACTCTATAGAAAATGTGGGTTAGTCGAGTAGACTGGTGGCCACTCTATAGAAAATGTGTGTTAGTCGAGTAGACTGGTGGCCACTCTATAGAAAATATGGGTTAGTCGAGTAGACTAGTGTTCACTCTATAGATGGTGGATGGCCGAATGGTTAGTGCGTGTTTTTGTTTTTTTCAGGTGATAGTAATTGTTATTTATACCAGATAAAACCTCACCTGTCTGTTTATACACCAACTGGTTATAATCAACATTATTTATATTATAATCAACATGTTACAACATTACCTAATGGTTTGGTATGTATTAAATCCACTGTGGTCCCTCTATAACAGTAGCACCGATTTAGGTTGGATCGGAGATTTTAATTTCGGCCATTCAGTAACCTCTAGACGTATCAAACCCTTTCTAGATCAGAGCACGGTTGCCCCCATCTGCCATGGTCTTGATAAGATTATATTAGATGTTATACATAGGCAGGATCTGGGCAGTGATTTCCTTTATTAATTCCAAATCCTCATATGCGCTGAGGGGAGTCACGGTGCCTAAGTTGGTGAAACACTGGCTCGCTAGCCTGTCGGTCGTGGGTTTGATCCCTGTGTTGTCCAATAAAGTCCACCTGGATTATCCGTCGTGGTTTCGCCTTGTCAATGGTGCAGAACGGAGGGCCTGATAAGGACAGCTGTCTAGTTGTTTGGATGGAACAAAAAAACAAAGTCCTGTGTCAAATTGGCATGCACGTAAAAGATCCCTTGGCAATTAGAATTCGATATACAATGTAAGAGTAGGCCGTAGCGCTTCTGGCTGGCAAAAATTGCCCTTATAGCACACTGCATGGCATATGCCCATCTCCATTAGCCCAGTGGAAGCAGAACAGTAGGATGTTAAACCCTATTTGTGATTTCAGGGTTTTGGTGGCCAGTTAGAATATTTTGGTTTATGGATAGATGAGAGTTTCTCATCAGGTCATAGTAAAGCTGGTCCCAGAAATACAACTTACGGCAGTCCTCAGTTATCTATAACTCCAGAGTTTGAGATTGACACCATAGAAGTTTGGGGAGTTGGACCGGAGAAAAAAAGGGATGACGATGATGATGAAGGGGTTACAGATGAGGTAAACTGATTTAAAAAAGTTAAAATGGCACCTATTCATTGATTTGGGACAAAAAGAATTTTTTTTATGTTTCGTATTTTTTGCTTTACATGAGTCTGTTATCATTGTGTCATGCTCTGTAAACAACCAATGAAAACACAGCATGATTGCTACTATCACTGAGAAGCATGACATCCGGGTCATTTAATTACCTCACGAAAATTCAATTCTAAAACAATTTTTCAATCATTATTATGAAATAAAAGTGTAGGAACTTTATCTGGATTAAAAATATTTCCTATTTCGTGTAAATTGGTACATAAAATAGTATGTAAAGTGTAAAATAAGTAAACTGCAACAATTCAGCCTGGACCAGTTTCTCTTCCTATGTATGACGTAAATAACCCACGTGTTGTCAAGGCCATATGATGTGACATCACATGTAGACCTATAATGTGACATCACACATAGACCTATAATGTGACACCACATGTAGACCCATGGTAGACCTATAATGTGACATCACATGTTGACCTATAATGTGACATCACATGTACACCTATAATGTGACGTCACACTTAGACCTATAATTCTCGTGAACGTAAAGGTCAGTCATCTTGTAGGCTTCAGTATTACCTTGTAAAACTAGTATACGTCCCTGTATTTATTACAGGAGCTGGCATCACGGAAGAGTATACTAGATAAAGATCCGGGAGCGAAGGCTATGTTATCTTTAATAGGTAGAGGACCTTTAAGTGAAGGATTACGTGAAGGAGATGAAACAGCTGATAGTCCAGAAGAAACAAAAAACACAGTTATTTCCCTTTTTTAACTCATCCGACATGAATATGTTTAAGATGAGTAATTACAAGATAACTCCATCATCAACATGTTGTTCCCTTCAACAGAACTAATCCATCATGATGCAACTGAACAATTTCTAATTATCTAAAGGCTTAACTACTATCGTACGTTGAAGTGTGTTTAAACTTGGTAAAGGTATCTTGAACGTTTTTTAAAATAAACTCCACAAACAAATGGAGATAATAATTGACTGTTTTTAAGTCATGGATATATCTCTTGTTACCATGACTTAGAAACCAGAAACAAGCCAGGGATTGATGAACGGAGATCATTGCCCGAACTTCTGGAATAATAATTGAATGTTATTTATCTGTTGTCACCATGAATAATCTATGTTGTGATATGTTTTAGTTTTTATGTGAGAAAAAGAAAATCTCCATTCTATGTTGGTGCAATATATATATATATGATAGATGTATTGATTGACTTGTTACTAAATATAGACATGACATCATCTACCATCAAGATGTTTTACACTCTAGTTATACAGTATGTTACTAAATATAGACATGACGGGTGATTTTGGTGTGGCTAAGTGGGCTAGATGCTGGATGGATAGCCTGGAGGTCAGGTGTTCGATCCCTTTATTGGCCGAGAAAGTTCATCCAGTATTTCCGGTGTGGAAATCCCCTGTCAGTGATGCAGGATGGAGAACCTGACAAGGACAGCTGTCTAGTCCTTCGGATGGGACGAAATACCAACGTCCTGTGTACACATAGGCGTGCATGTAAAAGATCCCTTGACAGTTGGAATTCGATATAAGAGTAGGCCGTAGTGCTGCTGTCCAGGAAAAATTCACCTCGTAGCACACTGTATGGTGTATGCCTGTTTTCATTAGGCCAGGTCGGAGCAGAACAGTAGGACGTTAAACCCCATTTCATTTTATTTATTTTGGTAGACAAGGTCGAGAAACTATGGAATATCTTTCATTTTAATTGACACACTAAAGCCAATCTGTAGTTATTTTAAAACTTGTAATTCAGACAAAAATGAATTTTTCCCAGCTTAAAGATACATTATGTAAGATTTAGATAAAAAAGCTAGGCATTCTTGCTATAATAGTTCAAAAATAGATAATATAAAATGAATAATTTGAAAATTTCATTCAAATTACCCTATTGCGAGCGAAGATATTAGCCTTTGAAGGTTTGACAAGACGTGTGCAATAATTTCAACCACCCCACTGGTTGTTCGAAGCTAAGTCTCGCTCCTCCATTTTTAGCTTAAATCAAAATATGGCTGAACTGTTCTAATCTATTTAATATCAGAGAAATCCGATGCCATTGAGAGTTGATTATGGTCTGGATAAGTTAACTAATGTCTAATTAATAATTTAGATAATATTTCAAACCTAAAGAAAGACCTGCAATAGGCAGATTTAGCTCTTGTATAATGTATGTTTAAATCTATACAAACAATCTACTGAAACTGATTGTAAAACACTCAACCCTACGAGAATGCCCCAAACTTCCCTCTAACATGCATATAGATGTTGCGTACGTGAAATGGTCCTATATCTCGGGTGAGTTTAAGGCAGTCTAAGTAACATCAGTTTCAGTTTGTTCATAGATCTACTGTTTTACCTGAAATGGTCCTATATCTCGGATGAGTTTAAGGCAGTCTAAGTAACATCAGTTTCAGTTTGTTCATAGATCTACTGGTTTTACCTGAAATGGTCCTATATCTTGGGTGAGTTTAAGGCAGTCTAAGTAACATCAGTTTCAGTTTGTTCATGGATCTACTGGTTTTCATATATTACTCTTCTTTAATCTTCTACATTTTGGGACTAACATATGGTTCTAGCAGGGAACAAAACCACGCCACTTGACTGATTGACAGACTTTTCGATTTAACGTGAGACCATAACCAAAGTCTGTTAATCGATGAGCAATTGTCCAAGGAACAAGCCTGCAAAGTTTCATGTCAATCACCCCCAATGTCAGTATAATGTTGGTATATGTAATATAATATAAGATTGGTATATGTAATATAATATTGGTATATGTAATATAATATAATATTGGTATATGTAATATAATATAATATTGGTATATGTAATACTAGAAGAATGCCCGGCTTCGCTTCAGGGGTCATAACCCCGAAACCGGAAGTGGTAGACTAACGCCCCCTGGCCTATGTTACTCCCCGGTCCGAGCTACCCCTATAGCCCAAATTTCAGACTCGGGGCAGACCTAGTGTAGCCGCCAACCCCGAACAGACAGACAAACAACAGTCACAAATATTAGTATAGATAATATTGGTGTATGTAATTTAATATAATATTGGTATATGTAATATAATATTGGTATATGTGTAATATAATATTGCCATGACAAAGGGAGGGAAAGAGAGAATTGCTGTAAATATATGCTCGCGACCATATAGTACACATCCTCATGAACTGATTTTAAAAATGTTCATTGGGTTAAATCTAAATGATAAGATTTATTTTTATAAATGATCTCCCACTCAATATTGAATCAAGTCAGATAGATTTATTTGCTGATGACAGTACCCTGCATTGTTCACACAAAGATATTTTATCTATCGCCAGTAATCTCCAAAATGATCTCTATCTGGTTGCTAAATGGTGTGAAAACAATGGTATGGTAATCAATCCTTCGAAAACAAAATCAATGCTGATTTCATCAAAACACAAAAGAAATCAGAAAAACCTAACTTTATCACTCCATGGTGAGAAAATTGAGAGGTTTACTACCGCAAAATTACTTGGAATTCAAATTGACCAAGACCTTAATTGGGAAGCACAGATAGCAGATATGTCTAAAAAACTTGCATCAAAATTATTTCTCCTAAATAAGATAAAAGATCATTACCTTACGAGACAAGAATTTTGTTTTATAATAGTTACATACTACGAATGTATGACTAATACTCTATTATTTGGGGGAATGCTACCAAAAGTAGACTAGACTTTCTTTTAAAATTACAAAAGAAGGCAGCAAGAAGTATTCCCCTTACACAGAGGATTCTTTATAATAAAATTGTCCATAATATTCAACTGATGACATATTTACTATTTTCCATGTATATTTAACTTGCAACTGCATTCTATCTTATTTTATGTGTAATTATAGTGTTTTTCCTATATTCTACTTGTATAATGTATATGTTTTGTAGTTTGGGAGTGACTTCCCAAACTTCACACTTTAAAATGCTATTGCATTTCAAATGATTTTGAATTTATCCTGATATTAAATGTATATATATGTCTTTGTAGCTTTGGAGGGACTTATTGAAGATTAGTTTTTTGCAAACTAAATAAGTTGCCTCATTAAATAAAGTTTTTATTATTATTATTATTATCACTATTGATTGGAATGGACCAACAGTTTGTGTTTGTAATGTTGAAGACTCTAAGCAAAAAATAAAAATTTTATTCCTGAAGTACTGAATGTTGTGTATACCGTAGGCCTACTTATGTTTTAACGAAAAAATAAAATCTTCCCACCCTCCCTTACTTTGCGGAAAAAATGACAATGGCCAATTAAGTGGCCTTGGGTCAGGAAATTACCGCTAATTTTTGCTGTCAGCAAAAGTTATGTGGCTAGTACTACATTGGGTTGTGTATTTTTAATTAGTCATAATGTATATTTTGTTTTAATGACCCTGCAGGCATTAAACAATAAAATGAGTTTGTTATTAGGTGAAACTAAAGGGCTCCTACATCCGAGGTACCTCAACGTTTTTTGTGCCGATCTCATAACCCACCCAAACCTGGCAGAACAGGTAAATTCATCAAATTTTCGTCAATTCAAACCCTTAAAGTCAACTAAAGTCGACATGCAAGAGGGAAAGGGGGAAATACTTTATTTCTGTTTCCGATTGATGTGAATTAATGGTGGTCTGGTCCCTAACAAGATATTCAATTTGATTAAGTTACCTCCCTTGAACCACCAAACCAGAAAATTGTTTTTCATTGAGGTATGGGATGTGATGAAGACATTTATTCGGTCGCTTACATCAGTCAAAATTAAGACAAAATCAACATGGCCGGTGTTCAAGGCAGTAACGAAAGACGGCGGTCTTCTACGTCGAATGTTAGGGACTCAAGATATCCCCCAAACAGCAAACCCCGTGGAAAGAAGCCGATAGCTGAACCCATTCATTTGGGACATTTTTTTATGATAGTTATTATGAAAATATGCCGGAAAGTTCTGCTAATTGACACGTCTGTGAAGATAGGGTTGTATTTGATGGGAGTTTTGATCGGTTCCGTCATCTGCGATTTGTACGCCATGCCCAGAAACTTCTTTTCTGACAAACACAATTTTCTAAATCAGTATTTTGTAAAATTAGGATGGGGCTGGACCTTTTCTCTAATGGCTGCTTTTATGTTTATGACAAGCTTTGTGTATTGTTGCGGTGATTTAAATAAAGTACGCAGACATTTAATGCGACTTGGTGTTGGAACATTTTGGTGGTACAGCTGTACGAATATGTTTGTTTTTGTGAATAATGCTGTTGGCGTCTGTACTTCATCTTCAATTAAAGACAGCAGAGAGTGCGAGAAGGCCGGGAAATCTTGGATGGGTTTCGATATTTCCGGACACGTATTTCTACTCATTCATTGTCTGCTAATCATTTCAGAGGAGATGAAATGTTTTAAAGATTGGACAAAATTGAAAGACGTTTTAAACGACGAAACAATAGCGGAGAAGAAAAGATTAACAGCGAGTGAAGTGTCGCAGGCGAGAACATCTCACAAACAACTGACACCGTTAATACAGATTAATGTTATAGCGATAACCATGTTAAGTCTGTTATTTGAGTTTATGCTGTTAATCTCAATAGTTTATAGATTCCACACGTTGTCTCAGAAAGTTTTCGCTGCGTTTATCGCGGTTGGTTGTTGGTTTATAAGTTACAGAATGCTGTATAGAACCAAATTAGATGTGTTACCATGCCTACCTGGAGAATGTGTTATTAATTATTATAAATATGATCTCTAAACCCTGTTATATATTATTACCTGTTTTGCATTTATCTACACTTGGTGTAAAATGCCCTCTACCACCTGTGAAATGCCCTCTACATGTACCTCTTGTGAAATTCCCCTGGCCTTGTGTAAAATGCCCTCTGCTTAGTGTAGAATGCCCTCTGCTTGGTGTAAAATGCCCTCTACCACCTGTGAAATGCCCTCTACATGTACCTCATTGTGAAATTCCCCTGGTCATGTATAAAATGCCCTCTACCTCCTGTGAAATGCCCTGTGCCTCGTGTGAAATTCCTCTGGCCTTGTGTAAAATGCCATCTGCCTCCTGATATCTGAGAGCACACACACACACACACACGATTGAACATGTCATCTTTGCAACACCAAAACTACAGTCTCTTCATCATAACTCGTTTCTCGTTGTCCATATCTGCAGACGCACCAATACATTCTCTGTGAAATAATAAAATTAGTTCTTTCCAGCGTTTTTTGGTAGGTACGATTTTAGATTGTTTTTAAAATTCATTTCCGGATTAAAAATTCTTCATTTTGTCGAGGACGAGTATTACTGTTTTCCAAATGCATGTATGCAGTAATTTTATCCCAAAGATTGTAGTTTCTGTGATTGAGAAAGTTTGAACGTACGATCAACCCTGATTGGTCCATAGTCACATCTGATGATAATCAGCACAATAAAAGCACCTGTCACATACTTTGGTTTCGATTCCCCGCTTGTACGTGACAAGGAGTAGGGTCACCTGTCCAACCTTGTGGGTTGTCACCTGGTCCTCCAGTTTCCTCGTACTCCTAAAGACCCCTACTCGAGTGGACGTTAAACCCCATTTCTCTCTCTCTCTCTCTAAAGACCCCTACGTGCAAGCCAATTATTGAAATGAAATTGAACCATATGTTAGTCCCGAAATGACTTAGTTTGTGTCGAATGCACGTTAAACCACATTTCTCTCTCTCCCGCTCTCCTGGAAACAAAAATTGCAATATTTTTAGAAATTATCACTATACAATGCTGGATTCACCAACATTTTGGTCTCTCGAGTTTAAATACGTGTATGGGGCTAGCTGGTTAGGCTGAAGGATAAAACATTCACTGAGAGGGTTAGGGTTAGAGTTGGAGGATAAAACATTCACTGAGAGAATTTAACATCAAGTCGTTTATTTCAATTAAGATATTAGTGGTGATCGTTGGCTTTATTCACAAAGTCTTCCATGTCGGATTAAATCTCTGGTTAGACATGATTAGAATTTAAAGGGTATATACCTCTATTCTTTTCAAGCGTAAAATTAGGCAAAAATGGGTCTAAAAGCACATGAATGTACATGTATATAAAGTGATTTATGGATTTTCTAATCAGTTATGTGAAATACATGAAATATCCAGAGTTGTTTACACCTGCCTAGTCCATTCCAGCATGTTTTTATTATTATTTTGCCATTCATTAAAAAAGCATTACCGGTACTAATTGTACGATATGCTTTACTTGTTCATTACAAATGGCACCTGGGGGGTCACGATGGCTAAGTGGGTAAGACGCTGGCTCGCTAGCCTGGAGGTCAGGTGTTCGATCCCTGCATTGGCCGAGAAAGTTCATCCAGATTTTCCGGCATGGTTCCCCTATGTCAGTGATGCAGGATGGAGGGCCTGACAAGGACAGCTGTCTAGTCATTTGGATGGGATGAAAAACCGATGTCCCGTGTACACATTGGCATGCACATAAAAGATCCCTTGACAGTTGGAATAGTAGATGTAGATCATACTGCCGCTGTCCAGGCAAAATTTCCCTCATAGCACACTGTATGGCATATGTCCGTCTTCATTAGCCCAGTTTGGAGCAGAACAGTAGGACATTAGTCAATCTAGGCTACACTGTAGGTTTGATTGTCAGGTATGATAATGAACAATCTATGCTATACCTGTACCTTAGCTCGGAATAAAGTAATTGGAATTAAAGTTTCAATACATTTATATTTCATTATCTACATGTATCTTTAAATTATTATAGCAGGAACGACCAGTTCTTTACATAAATCTTACATAATGTACCTACAAGTGAGTGTATTATTGAAATAAAATTAACCATATGTTAGTCTTGAAATGACCTAGTTTGTGTTAAGTGGACGTTAAATCCCAGTCCTCTCTCTCTATTAAAATCTTACATAATGTATCTTGAGGTAATATTAATGAATTAATGTTTGAGACCAAAGACGATGTATTAAGTTTAGTCATTATATCTTGTAATAAATTATTACTGCTCTTGTTTTGTTATAGACATGTTAAGAAGTTTTATTATTTCTGTTGATTTATTAAATTTAGTTTAATTCTTATTTAATTTGAGGCTACGTGGCCGTTTTATGTTGATATTATTGACTGCCCCCAGACATGCCTGGAATTAAGCCAATTGTTACAGAAAATAGCAGGATTAAATCCAGGCTTTGTCAGGTACAACATATTTTTTGAGCAGGAACAAGCCTACAAGTTCTACTCATCATGTTGATCTTGTGGGCGGGGATACACGGTGGGTCAGTGAGTTGGACGCTGGCTCGATCCCTGCATTGTCTGCGAAAGTTTATCAAGATTTTCTGACGTGGTTCCCTCTTGTCAGTGGTGTAGTACAGAAGGCCTGGCAAGGGACAACGTATAGTCGTTTGAATGGGAAGCAAAACCGAGTTTTCACTTTGTATATTTTTATATTCCCCCCCTTTTATGTCAACTTGTCTGCAGTCTGTTGTCTCTCCTACAGATCAGAATTCTTGCCAGATCTTTTTCAGATTTGCGGGGATGCTTCATGTGGTATGCTTCATGTGGTCGTTAGGAAAATCATTACTTCGAAGAGTTATGTCCCCTTTTATACGCCCACATGGAAATGTGGTCGTATATTACCATTGCCCCCGTCCGTCGGTCTGTCCGTCCTCCACAATTTTTTGTGAACACTCTACAGATTACATTTATCATCTGATTGTTTTGAAATTGATATATGTTGTTTGCATTAGTGAGATGAAGAAGCCTATTTAATTTCTATAACTTCCGTTAATTTCTTCTGGAGTTATGGCCCTTGTTTCACTTTGTTGCATCTTGTGAACGCTCTAACGACAAAAGTTATCAACCGATCTGTATAAAATTTATATGCATCATTTAAATTTGTAAAACAAAGAATCATATTGAATTTCAGCAATTTTTGTTAATTACATCTAGAGTTATGGCTCTTGTTTTACTTTGTTGAATCTTGTGAATGCTCTAATGACAACAGTTATCATCCGATTTGTTTGAAATTTATATGCATCTTTTAAATTAGTGAAACGAAGAAGCCTATTGAATTTCAGCAATTTCGGTTAATTACGCTGTGAGTTATGGCCCTTGTTTCACTTTGTTGTACCTTGTGAATACTCTGACGACAAAAGTTATTATCCGATCTGTATGAAATTTATATGTATCGTTTAAATTAGTAAAATGAACATGCCTATTGAGTTTCAGCAAATTTCTGTAAATTACATCTAGAGTTATGGCCCTTGTTTCACTTTGTTGAATCTTTTGAACGCTCGAATGACAAAAGTTATCACCCAATCTGTATGAAATTCATATCCATCATTTAAATTAGTGATATGAAGAAGCCTATAGAATGTCAGCAATTTCCGTTAATTACTTCTAGAGTTATGGCCCTTGTTTTACTTTGTTGAACGTTGTGAACGTTCCAACGACAAAAGTTATCATCCGATCTGTATGAAATTTATATGCATTATTTGAATTAGTAAAACAAAAAAGCCTGTCGAATTTCAACAATTTCTGTAGATTACTTCCAGTGTTATGGCCCTTGTTTTAGTTTTTAAGTCCTTGTGAACCCTCAAACAACGAAAATTATAATGTCATCTGTATGAAATTGTCTATTAAATGCCTCCGACAACCCTTGTCGACCGCTAGGACGATTTAGCTGCTGTGGGCATATGTGTTGTTGCCTGGCAACCTATTTTTATGTTTTAAATTAATATATCTTGTGAAAATGATAGAATGTTTTAAAATTGTTGTGAGGAATGTTATTTCCATGCTTAATGGCAAACCACCTACTGTATTGTGAACAAGTGTGATCTTGATGAGGTATTTGAGTGATATGATAGAGATTTTAAATGTAGATGTTTCTATTCCCTTTATGGTGTGTGGTAGGATTTATATTTTAAACAATTCCAATATGAACAGATCCCAGCTTAGAAATAAAGCACCTGTCACAAATTTTGTCAGGCACAAATTTTAGATTTTGTCCAATGAAGAATTTTCTGTATTTTTGTTATTGCTGATAAGTGTGTGACATAAGATTTCATGTCCGGTAGGGCCTAGTAAGGCCTACTAGATCATCAGTAGGGCCTACTAGATCATCAGTAGGGCCTGACCTTTTGTAGATTAAAACCAGAAACTGTATTTCCAGGAATGGATCAATTATTTTTATAAGATAGAATATCTTATTTTGAATTTTGAGTGCATTTGATATTTTCTTTGCATCCCTTGTTTTTTTTGTGATTTAATAAAACGAATCTATAAAAATTAAATATTTTTTCATAATTTTTTTTAACTCACAACCCCATTTCTATTTTAATACATGAACTTTTGTGGACATGAAACCCGCAGTCTGGTTCTGTTATAAATTGGTACTTGTCCAACTTCGTGGGTTTCCTCCGGGTCCTCCAGTTTCATCCCACTGCTACAGACCGGTACGTGCAAGCAAATTATTAAAATGAAATTGAACCATGTTAGTCCCGAAATGACCGAGTTTGTGTCAAGCGGAAGTTAAAGCACATCTCTTGTGGGGGCACACACTATCCATGTAGTTCTGATTTGTATCCTGGCGTTGCCCAAGTAAGTTCCTCTGCATTTTTAATACACTGTAATGCGTCTGCCTACTTGTCTTCATTATACAGGGGTCATAGTGGCCCAGTGAGTAAAACAAAAATGTGTCAAAACCAACATGAAGCGAGCTATTTGATTGGCAATCGATTAGATAGCATGTCATACTTTGAGAAAGAAGTTACTACAGTTGGACGGGGAATGATATTCTCAATTTTTGGGGCAGTATGGGGTACAGCCAGGCTTCACCCTTGGTCAGCTGTCATCTGTCCCACACATTACCCCCATGGGCGTCACGCATGGGGGGATCGGGGGGGGTCCGACCCCCCCAATTGTTTTTCTGGGGGGGGTCTGAATATACTTGGACCCCCCCAAAATTTACATAGTAGGCCCAAACTCCTATTTACAACAATTATTAGGATTAGTTCAGATTCTATCTGTATAAAACCTGTACATATCCCAATATGGTTTATACTGCTAAAATAAAACACAGAGATAATCATCCTGGAAACGTGTGAAGTGAAAAGTACCTGTGTTCCATAAAATTGTGTCTAGTTAGCCTGTCAGTAATATTTTGTCAGTTTTTTTCTGCCACTTATCAGAGTGAATCGCATGTAGGTACCCCAAAACATAACCGCCTAAACCAAATATTTATCGCCCGCTCAGCCAGCCACCTAACCATAATGCTTTTGCACGCGGTGTCTTGGTAGACAGCATGGCCACATGGTATTTGTTTATATTTTTTAGGGATTTTAAAAAATGGGTTAGGGTTAGGGTTGCGGACCCCCCCCCCCAATATATATTTCATGGCTACGCCCCTGATTACCCCTGCCAGTGACCATCTGTCCTACACCTTATTTGACATCTAGGCAATGGGCTTGAAAACTATGAAATTCAGGATGCTACATTCAGATAAATATTTCCCGATAGGAAACCATGACGATATTTGATTTGTGTTTGATTATTTATTATAAGCTAATAATATTTATATATATATATATATATCATACAAACCTATTTAAAATCCCTTTACACATAGAGTGTGTTTCCCCACAGCTAATGTTCAAATACAGTATATAAATAATAACACATACATATGGTGGAACAATTACTAATGTTTTATGAACTCGGGAGGCCAGAATATCAAAATACCTTATTTTATATAGATTATGACAATTGATAAAATTGTTTTAAGTGTCGTGCACATCAAAACCTATAATTTTAACTCTTTTGTTTGACACTACAATAAGTTCTCAAGCCAATTAATTTCACTGTGGGTAAGAAACATAATTAACTATACACCACAGTTTTAAGATAAAATTGATCAAGTTCGATGTAAAATCCAATATATTATCATAAATGGAATGAACATCTAAATTTTTTTCAATAATTTAAAACAAAATCTGTAAATGTTCAGGACTCTGCACACCTGATTGCTAATTACAATTTAACTTGTCCCTAAAACCTGTAAGTCTATGAACTTTCCAACCCCCTCCCCCCCTTGTCACTAGTCATATGACACTCACTCTGTCAGTGCACCATGTGTAGATAGAATGACCTGGTTAACATCCTACTTTTCTGCACCAACTGGGATAACGATGATGGGCATACACCACACAGTGTGCTACGGTATACTCCTATTTCCAACTGTCATTGAGCCACGGTGGCTAGGTGGTTAAGACGCTGGATCGCTAGCCTGGAGGTCGGGTGTTCGATCCCTGCATTGGCCGAGAAAGTTCATCCAGATTTTCCGACGTGGTTTCACCTTGTCAGTGGTGCAGAACGGAGGGCCTGACAAGAATAGCTGTCTAGTCTTTCGGATGAGACGAAAAACCGAGGTCCTGTGTATACATTAGAATGCACGTAAAAGATCCCATGGCTGTTGGAATTCGATATAAGAGTAGGCGATAGTGCCGCTGCCCGGGCAAAATTTCCCTATAGTACACTGTATGGCGTATGCCCTTCTTCATTAGCCCAGTTTAGGAGCTGAACAGTAGGACGTTAAAGCCCATCTCATTTCATTTCCAACTGTCAGGGATTTTTAACGTGCACGTCAAACGTATACATGTGATCTTATTTTTTTATCCCATCTAAATGACTAGACATGTTTCTTAATAAGGCCCATGGTCCTAAATTTCCAGGTAGACATGAGGAACATACCATGGACCTACGACTGTATAAAACTGATACCACCGGTCACATCACCCAACATATTAACTGTTTGCTCACAGCTTGATGGCTCTGTACCAGGTTTGGATTAATGGAGGGTGGGGGGGGGTTTGGACTGGGTTGCAAAATAATAATTTATAACTTTATTTATTATCTTTGTGCGGAATAAATATATCCATCTACCATACTGACATGTGGCCCAATGATATAATCAGTCAGGGAGCGGAGTACAATATAATCTGGTCCTGCTCTGGTCCTGCTCTGTAACCCGAATTGTTTTATAGTTCAGAGTAAGAGTGAAATACTAATTTGAATTTAAGGTATATACCTGTAGATAATTTAGTTGATGGTTTCACTACACTGCTGATGTAAGAATCGACTATACCGGTGAGGTGTAGGGGTTGACTACATCAGTGAAGTGTAGGGGTCGACTACATCAGTGAGGTGTAGGGGTCGACTATACCAGAGGGGTGTAGGTAGGGGTCGACTACACCAGTGAGGTGTAGGGTAGGGGTCGACTATACCAATGAGGTGTAGGGTAGGGGTCGACTATACCAATGAGGTGTAGGGTAGGGGTCGACTATACCAGAGAGGTATAGGGTAGGGGTCGACTATACCAATGAAGTGTAGGGGTCGACTATACCGGTGAGGTGTAGGGGTCGACTATACCAGTGAGGTGTAGGGGTCAACTACATCAGTGAGATGTAGGGGTCAACCTAACCAATGAGGTGATACTGTCTGTGCCACATGTTTTACAATTCATAATTTACCCATCTGCCTTTAAACTAATAATTCAAACCGTCTCCATCTATATTTATATATTTTCTCCTTTAATCAACAAACCTAAAGTTTGTTCAAATCAATTCGTCTATTTCATTCCTCATATTTCTTTAGGTATAATTGTTTCTGGGCGTGTTGTATGTTCAATGACTTTTATTATGTGGGATAGAAAATAGGCCTGATGGAAAGTAGGCCCACTGTAGGCCTACCAGATGTTTTTAATTTTGTTGGTGGACAAGTATTAAAAATTATCAGTGCCTGACACAACAACAGCCACTATCTGTACAACTAGACAAAGCTGGAATTAGATTGGCATTGATAGGTCAATCTGATTTAAACACAGATCCTATTTCGTTTCGTTTTTATAGTTCAAAATTCTGTTTTACTTGTCTTTACTACACTAGGATCTGGAAGAGTTGTTATCATTGATGTGTTCTGAATGATGTGAGGGATTAGGGCAAGTCTTTGGTATGACTTACAAGGAACTGTGCGTAACCCACTAGAAACATCAATGCTGATTGGTTAATCTAATGTCTAACGTCATAGGGTCAAAAGCTGCTGGTATGACCTCTGACGCAACCTTCCAATACAACCAGTCAGATCTTCATGTAGTGTAGGCCATCGAAAGTATAAAAATCAAAACGAAATATAGATCTGTATTTTAATCATTTTGGCAACAGGTGGCCTATTTTAGACGAGTAATTATAGATTTTGATAAATACATTTGATTGACAGTTTCGAAGCACGAGTAAATCCTGATTATTAAATCATGTACCATTCATGATACCGGACAGTGGAATAATGTATTTTACTACAATCCTGTTTATTATTTAAATTTCTTTACTATCAACAGCGCTGCCACACCTGCTGCGATTCCAACTGTTGCCAATCCTCCCAATATCGGTAAAACCATTTTAGCTTTTTGTTTCAATAAATACTGTGCTGTAGCCTTTGAAGCTCCGAGAATGGTTTTCTTTATACTAGGTCTCTCCGATACTCTCGTCCAGTAGTTCACCAGTTCTGGTCTCTTTTCTGGTGACATAAACTTTTGGTCCAGCCCTAAGAGAACAATTCGTCCGACTAATGTCGCTAGGCAAATATCAGCCGCAGTAAAATTAGAACCCACCAACCAAGTGTCTTCAACACCCTCTGGAAAATAAACAGGAAATAAATAAATTTAGAAGAAGCAGGGAAACGATAAATGGGATCAATGTTTTTTTATTGTTATCCAAGGGAGACAAATCAATCTTTAAAGAATCCTTCAAGCTTATAAATTGTCGATTTGTAATATACATTGTAAATAGACTAAAAACTAATTTTTATCTCAAAAGTTTGATTCAAATCCATCTCAAAACATTTGAATCGCACGAAAACTACCCCATGCCGCTAGAATCTATTTTAAGAAACATTGTTTGATGGAGTATCGATTATTTCAGCTTGTATTTGTTTTTAGTTGCCCTCAATTTACCATAAAATATTTAAGTCTAAGTAAATTCTTGAATTATCCTTTGGGACTAACACATGGATCAATTTTAAAGTCTAAATAAATTCTTGAATTATGGTTCAATTTTGTTTCTATAATTCACTTGTGCGTAGGGGTCTTTGGCTGTGGGAGGATACCAAAGGACCCGGAGAAAACCCATGAGGTTGGACAGGCGACCCTATTCCTTCATGTACAAATGTGGACTCAAACTCACACTACTTGACTCAATAACAGATGTTAGACCACTCTACCCCCCCCCCCCCCACATCTAAAGCCCACACGTTAGACCATTCAGCCATTCAAACAGACTAAATATCAACCTTGTAACGACAGGTGAATGACCAGGTACCAGGTATTAAAATCAGCTTTACCTTTCTTATTCTGTTTTAACAACGATTCCATTTGATCGAAAATCTTCTCCAAATCATCAACAGCTTTCTGAACGCGATCTCTATCGCTACATATTTCTATCTTTTTGGTAAAATATTGATTCTTGGCTAAGTAGGCATCACGCAATTCCGGGTGTTTGTCTGCAAGTTCGGCACAAGTTGTGGCAAAACTACTAAAGGCTTCCTCCATCTCTGAAAAATAAAACTTGTAAATGAGATGTTGGTTCGCTAAACAAGAGGTCCCATGTTCCATCCCTGTGTTGATCAAGAAAGTTTATCGAGATTTTTCGGGCTTGGTTCCATTTGTCAGTGGTGCATAATGGAGAGCCTGGCACGGGACAATATATAGTAGCTTGCACGGGAAGAAAAACTGAGGAAAATTTTGTCTGGGCAGTGGCGCTATAGCCTACTTTTATCGAAATCCAACTGCCAAGGGATCTTTTACGTGCACGCCAATCTTTACACAGAACCTCAGTTTTTTGTCCCATCCGACTGACTATACGATGTCACCTGCCCGGTCAGTCCTGCACAACTGACAATTCCCAACTGTCTCAGGAACCACGGTCTTACACACTTAGCCACTGTGGCTCTCACTATTCAGTGTTAAATGATTTGTCTTTATCATGAATTTTCTATAGATGAAGTTTGAAACAAGCGGTTGCCATGCAAGATACGCCCGCATACATTTTGAAAGAGGTGGACGGAGAACAAGCTAAAAACAAAAACCCAGCGGCAGCGATGCAGGATACGCCCATATTTTGCAAGAGATGGATAGAGAACAAGCCAAAAACAAAAATAATTTTTTGTACAATCAGGGGCCTTAATCCAGAAAGTTATGGTCCAATATGCGCGAATATCGCAAGGAACCCTGATCTTTGGGATATCAACATATATTTTAAGTTTCATTAAAATCGGATAAAAATTGTGACTGGTAGAGTGTCCACAAACAAATTGTGGACAGACCAGGTGATGATGATATAAGTCAACATAAAAATGTGGACATATAATTAATGTGAAATATGCCGAATTGATATATACTATACATCACATGGTTATTCCGGACATGTCCTACGCAAGTTGGCTATGTCCCAATCAGACGTCAAGTTACTTTACTGAAGGTTTAACTATTACTAATCTCGCGTTAGCGAGATTGATTCAGTAATTAAGAGATTGACACCTTGACGGCATAATAATCCTTAAACATAAATTATGCAGGAGCTAAGTCTGCCTATTGTAGGTCTTTCTTTAGGCCTGAAATGTTATTAATTAGACATTAACAAGCCAACAGTGAGGCTGATGTCCCCAGCCGAAATCAAAAATAAATAGATGACACATATTAATTAATAGCACATTTATTTTTTCAAAAGTATCAAGCAATCAAACTAATTATCAACCATACACTAAGTTTCATCACTCTCTATCAGATAGAATCAAAGTTATCTTGTCCCAAATCATCGACCAATGAAATTGCTTAGTTCTGCTTAGCTTCAGCTCGAAATGTTAATCATTGAACTCAGTCAAGACATTCAAAACATCTACATCAAGTTTAAACATTCTATCTCAATTAAAAGCAGAATTTTTATGTTCTAAAGTCTTGACCAATCAAATTGCTTATCGTTCCTTAGCCTAAGCAGAAAATTCTCATCATCAAACTTAGTCAAGGTAATAATATAATGAATCTATACTCGGAGTTGCATCACTCTCACTTAATTAAAACTTAAGTTATCATGCCCCAAAGCATCAACCAATCAGATTGCTTAACTCGGCTTATCATCGAACTCCATCAAGGCATTCACCTAATGAATGCCTACGCCAAGTTTAAACATTCTACCTCAATTCGAGGGAGAGTTATTGTGTTCCAAAGTCTCAACCAATCAAATTGCTTATCGCTCTGCTTACCCTGAGCAGAAAATGCTCAATATTGAACTTAGTCAAGGTATTGATGTAATGAAACTATACACCAAGTTATCGTGTCCCAAAGCATCAACCAATCAAATTGCTTATCTCTGCTTACCCTAAGCAAAAAATGCTCATCTTCGAACTCCATCAAGGCATTGACCTGCTAAACACCTACACCAAGTTTGAACATTCATGCTCAATTAGGAGAGTTATTGTGTTCCAAAAAGTGTGATGGACAGAATGACAGACAGACAGACGGACGAACCCATTTTAATAGCCCCCTGCTTTTTTCGAAAGGTGGGGGAAAATCAACATGACAAGACCATAATCAACTCTCAATACCATTGGATGCGTCCGATATTAAGTATATTAGAACGGTTCAGCCATTTAATGATTTAATCCTAAAATGGTGAAGCTAGGCTAAGCCTTGAACAACCAGTATGGTTGTAACAATCACTGAACACATCTTGTCACACCTTCTTCGCTAAGAATAAAGTAAATTGAATGAAATTGTCAATATATTCATTTTGCATAATCTATTTTTGAACTAATATAGCAAAAAGGACCAGCTCTTTATCTAAATCTTACATATTGCTATAAATCGACTAATACCTGGTAAAATAAGTTATTTATGAAAGAAATTTTACCTTTCTTCTCTTTTTGGAAGGCTTTGGGAAGTTTGAGACCAGATGCCGAAACATCTGGATAAAACATACAACCGAAAGACAGAAGTTCAATAGGCACCCTTCCCAATATACCACGTACTCGTTCTACTTCACTTCCTTCATCACTGGTTTTATCTGGAACTAGTCTGGGTTCTGTTCAAATATAAACATGGCATCATTCATTTACAGAGAGAGTTAGTTCAACATCCACTGACATAAACTAGGTCATTTCGGGACTAACATATGGTTCAATTTTATTTCAATAATTCACTTGCGCGTAGGGGTCTTCAGCAGTGGGAGGAAACCGGAGGACCTGGAGAAAACCCACCAGGTTGGACAGGTGACCCTACTCCTTGTCACGTACAACCAGGGAATCGAAACCATGCCAGTTGACTCAATGATAGACCCTTATGATATAGTACACACGCATTAACCATTCGGTCATTCCCCCCCCCCCCCCAGTTGACTCAATGACAGACCTTATGATACAACGCGCACGCGTTAACCATTCGGTCATCTAACCTCCATTTTATTTATAGATATGGAAGCTTCAACAAAGGGGAGTTCGGAATAGATATAGATTGTAATCAACGATTGGTGCTAATTTAACGTGCGATCAATCAGATTAAATGATAATTAGACAAGTGACAAACCAAACAATGGTCTTCAAGTATCTCATCATTTTATGGTTACTTAATATAAACAAATATATATTTTTTTTTTTAGTCATGCTGAATGATATCCCAGAGTTATACAAGATTTATAGACAAACTATTTGGATTGATTAAGAATTGTTTTTATTTTTTGGAAATCAAATGAAGTTGTATACTTTGCATATCAAACTTGGTGCTCTATGTAAGATGCTATGTAGAAAGCGTAGTAAAATGTAATGAGGGAAATGTCAAATGTAGACACCTCAAATACAACATTTTCCAATAAAAAATTTGACATATTGCATTTGACATTTTACATTTAACTTTGGCCTTAGAGGTAATTTGACTTTATCATTACCGGTATTAAGACTTTGTACATTGTACTTTTTACATATAATCAATGGAAAAGACATTTTAGCAGAGCATTTAATATTGGCAGCGATACCCTTAAATATCTTATGGCCAATCAAAGAAATATTATTTTGAGCGTGATTTTGTCAGTGCTTCTCGACAGAAAAATAAGGTTGTCTTTCAAATGGTTTTATTTATATATTCTTAAAGTACATATGTCCACCATTGTCTATTGTAAACATAAGATTTAACTATTTTATTGAAATGATAATTGGTAATTAATTATATTGACAATGTATTAAATAGCCCCAGCTCTGGTTGGAAGGCTCCAGACCATAATTAGTGAGTCTCTCCTTTACTCGCCCAGTCACCATGACTCCCTCATTTCAATGTGGGGTATATCTAGAGGAATTTTCGTAGTCAATACCCTCTGGATTAGTGTTTCTTCACTATAGCCACTGTGGCCCCCTCATTTCGTAGTCAATACCCTCTGGATTAGTGAGTCTTTACTATAGCCACTGTGGCCCCCTCATTTCGTAGTCAATACCATCTGAATTAGTGAGTCTTCACTATAGCCACTGTGGCCCCCTCATTAGGATGTGCAATCTGATTAAAATACAGAACTATATTTCGTTTTGGTTTTTTATACTTTCGATGGCCTAAACTCCATGAAGATCTGACAAGATAGCGATAGGTCACGTCAGGGGTCAAAAGACCAACTTATGACCCTATGACGTCAGACATTTGATTAACCAATCAGCATTGATGTTACTAGTGGATTACCCACAGTTCCGTGCAAAACACGTCTAAAACTTGTCGTAACAGACCGTTTCATTGGCTAAAACCTCACACCATTCAGAACACGTCAATGATAACAAATCTTCCAGATCCTAGTGTAGTAAAGACAAGTAAAACGAAATTTTAAACTATAAAAACGAAACGAAATAGGATCTGTGTTTTAATCAGATTGTAGGATGTGGGGTTTATTTGGAGGAAATTACTCACCGAAGCACCGTGGCTCCCACATTACAATGTGGCAAATAAAACTTCAATGACTGACCTGTGTTTATTTCTTTATCAATATAATCAACGATATCTTTTGATTCGACAACCACCTTGTCACCATCTTTTAAAACTGGAACTTCCGCTTTCTTATTTAATCGAAGGAATGCAGCCGAGAGTTGTCCCCCATCTAATATATTTACTATTTTTCCTTTAAATGAGACTTTCTTTTCCAATAAAGCAACTATTACCTGAAAATAACACCCAATAACAAATAAAGCAACTATTACCTGTAAATAACAACCAATAACAAATAAAGCAATGAAAATGGTCAAATGATGTATAAAATGTTATTTATTGCAAGCTCAGTGAGTAAGGAAAAGTGATATTTAACATCCTTTATTCTTACCTTCTTACTGTTCTACTACTACAGGGCTAATGACGACAGACCTACACCATACAGTATGCTATATTACTGTTCTACTACTACAGGGCTAATGAAGACAGACCTACACCATACAGTGTGCTATGAGGGAAATTTTGCCCGGACAGCGGCACTATGGTCCACTCTTATATCAAATTCAAACTAGCTATTTTATTGAATAAGGAAATAATGTGACATATAATCTCCACTGTTCTACTGTTTAACTGCCATACAGTGGGCTATTAGAGAAATTATGTTTGGATAGCAGTACTACGGCCTACTCTTATATCGAATTCCAACTGTCAAGGGATCTTTTACGTGCCCTGCATCACTGAAAAATGAAATGAAATGAAATGGGGTTTAACGTCCTACTGTTCTGCTCCGAACTGGGCTAATGAAGACAGGCATAGACCATATAGTGTGATATGAGGGAAATTTTGCATGGCAGCGGCACTACGGCCTACTCTTATATCGAATTCTAGCTGCCAAGGGATCTTTTACGTGCACGCCAATGTGTACACAGAACCTCTTTTTTTTCCCATCCAAACAACGAGTAAGGAGAGAGAGAGAGGGAGAGAGAGAGAAAGAGAAAGAAGGAGAGGGAGAGGGGGAGAGAGGGGGAGAGAGAGAGAGAGAGGGGTGAGAGAGAGAGAGAGAGAAAGAGAGGGAGAGAGAGAGGGGGAGAGAGAGAGGGGTGAGAGAGAGAGAGGGAGAGAGAGAGGGGGAGAGAGAGAGAGAGAGGGGTGAGAGGGAGAGAGAGAGAAAGAGAGGGAGAGAGAGAGGGGGAGAGAGAGAGGGGTGAGAGAGAGAGAGAGGGAGAGAGAGAGGGGGAGAGAGAGGGGGAGAGAGAGAGAGAGAGAGAGGGGGGAGATGGGAGGGGGAGAGAGAGGGGTGAGAGAGAGAGAGAAAGAGAGGGGGAGAGAGAGAGAGAGAGAAAGAGAGAGAGAAAGAGAGAGAGAGGGAGAGAGAGAGAGACACACACACACACACAAACACACTAGTTCATTTCAGGACTAACATATGGTTCAATTTCAATTCATTAATTTGTTTGCGCGTAGGGGTCTTTAGCAGTGGGAGGAAACCGGAGGACATAGAGAAAACGCACGAGTTTGGACAGGCAATCCTATTCCTTGTCACTACAACCGGTAAATCGAAACCAGGCCAGTTGACTCAATAACACACTTAATGATGCAGCGCACCCGTGCTAACCATTCGGCCATCCACCCCACATTAACTAGAAGGGCCAGATTTATTTGGGTGTTCGATTTCCAGTCAGTTTTCCCCTCGTCAGTTGAGCAGGATGGAGGACCTGGCAACGAAGAGTGTCTAGTCTTATGGATGGGGAGAAAAACTGTACTGGACAAAACATTAAATCAATTTATCTAATTGTGTATTGATCCTTAAGACTTGTTGCTCTGAGTTTTAAAAAAAAGTGCTGGACTAAGGGTCTGGCAAGGGGCAATGTCTAGTTATTCGGAAAGGACAAAAATGAGGTTGTGTGTACACACTGGCATACACGTTAAAGATCGCTTGGCCGTTGGAATTCAATATAAAAGTAGGCCGTAGTGCCGTTGTCCGGGCAAAATTTCCCTCATAGCACACTCATATGGCGTATGCCCGTCTTCATTAGCCCAGTACGACGTTAACACCCCCCCCCCCCCACGTTTCATTTCATTTTATTTACAAAAAGAATGTGCAGTGCAAAATAATTTCCAGTACTCCGCGAGGATATGGTGCCGAAAAACGGTTAACACTAAAATCTGAAATTGAAACTAAAAATCGTCGGTGTGTATACGGTTCATGTCTAGATATCGTAAAAAAATAAACAACAGTTTTACCAATGTCATTATTTACAATTTGAAAAATAATCAATTACCAAAATTCCAAACAATAACCTTCTGTATTGTAATGAACTAGCCCATGAAACCGATTAAACAGCATGCGGGAGTTACATCTTCGATTCCAACAATGACCTTCGCGTCTCGTGATGCCGTCTGCATGATGCGTTACCAAGGTTAGACGGATACACCGGTCTCCTTGTTACAGGTTCTATTCAGCCGCGGATATTATGAATACTGAACACAGTTAAATCATATAAAATGGTCACCATAAAAAGGATAATACATACCATATGTGAATAATACGACGTAGGGAAATAATATAATGTAAATCTGTCTTTATCCATTTTAATATTTTCGTCTGCTACGACTGTATTCATCAGTCAGAATCTGACTAGAGCGCAGGTGCGTGGGTTGAGTCGATTATTGTGGGGGTGTCAGCATGAACACGTGTTCAACCAGATACAGTGCTTATTTTAGCGGGAAAATTATAGATTACTTTGAAGCATTGAATTCCTGATAATAAATATAATTCTTATCGTGTTTTTTCAATTGATGTTAATGTTGGTTCTGACGAATTAAATAATGGAAAATTATTTTGAGAGTTTGTTGATCCGAACACACAACACTGGAAGAATATTTTAAGGGACTGCATGTGTACAAAACTATGGCGGGGTATTGGGTTCAAAATGCAATCTAGAGTAAAAAGCAGAAAGTCAACAGTAAAAAGTAGAAAACCTGAAGTAAACGGGAAAATTCTTATCTAAAAGGGTATTTTTATGGTGAAAACGTATAAATTTATGTACTTAGTCAGTAGAAACATCGAGCTTTTCAACTTTTAATCGTCATAATTCTACTTTCATGGACAAAATTTCTCCTTTCTACTATCAACTTTTGACTTTCGACTTTCCGCTTTCTACTTTCTACTGTCAACTTTTGACTCTCGACTTTCCACTTCAGATTTTCTCCAATACTATGGTGGCTGATAGTGGCCATGTAATTTTTCGCCATTTTCATAACCCGACAACATAACGACAGTATTAGTGAGAGCATACGTCAAAGTAAACTTGGATATTATAGACTGATATATTCGAACGTTTTCTTTAAATCGGATAATAATTGTGACCTCTAGAGGGACCACAAGCTAAAAACGCGATTTTTCGTACAATCAGGGGCCATAATTCAGGAAGTTACAATTCGATATGTATAAAAATCCCCAGGAACCAAGATATTTGGTTTATAAAGACGTATTTTAAGTTTCATCAAAATCAGATGAATAGTGTGACCTCCAGAGGGTCCACAACCCTGATACACAATATTTTGACACTATTTGCGAACGAGGGGCGGCCATTTAGTCCGTCAGTTTCGGTCCGATTTTTACGAAATTCGAACTCAACCATCCTTAGGGTGTAACGGTGATATATTGAAACGTTTTTTTTAAATCGGATAAAAATTGTGGCCTCTATAGAGTCCACAAGCTAAAATCGCGATTTTTCGTACAATCAGGGGCCATAATTCAGGAATTTATGGTCCGATATGCGCGAATATCGAAAGGAACCGAGATCTGTGGATTATAAACAAAATCGGATAAAAATTGTGAACTTTATAGGGTCCACAAGCTAAAAACGCGATTTTCGTACAATCGGGGACCATAATCCAGGAAGTTACGATCCAATACATGCCAATATCGAAAGGAACCGAGATCTTAGGGAGACAGACCTATATTTCAAGTTTCGTTGAAATTGGAAAACAATTGTGACCTGTAGACTGTTCACAAACAATTCCTCGTAAGATCACAACATCAATGTTGACTTAAATTGACAAACAATTCGATTTTTCAATGTCGGAGATTTTAGATGATATTGAGTTAGTGACTTAGCTACTTTAACTCAATGTTAACGAGTCGTTAGAAGTTAACGGGACTTTTTGAATAACCGGCCCCAGGTCAACTCACAGATTTAAACTTATATCTCTATGGTCAACAATGATTGCCAATTTCAATAATTTAAGGGTTAGGGTTAGGTTGGGTTTTTTTAAAAAATATAATTAATTATTGATTTTGTATTAAACTTATATTGTTTATCGTGAAATAACATCTCAAGACTAACCCAATAATAGTATCTGCAAGTAAAAAAACAATATTAAAATAGAAAAGTATGGAAATAATAATAACACATATTTCGGTGACTGGCAACTTTTGTTCGTTTTTTTTTACCGCCGAATAATGAAACCAAATACAGGAATAAAATATTTAATTTAAAATATACCCATTCATTTTAAATATCGAAATAAATATATGAAATGGAGTTTAACGACCTACTGTTCTGCTCCAACTGGACTAATGAAGACGGACATACGCCGTACAGTGCAGTGCTATGAGAGAAATTCCATCTGTCATGGGATCTGTTACGTACATGCAATGTGTATACAGAACGTCGGGACACCCGATTCCGAACGACTAAAAGTTATTCCTTGTCTGATATACATATAATGCACCAGTGGTAATCTTAGGCGTACGGGCTCGATGACTGTAAAGGGGGCAGAACCTGGGTTGCCCGAAAAAATTTCGGGTTACAAACGTCGGCACCGGTCCTCTGCCACAGATGCAGCAGCGGAGCTTTTCTGTTTTGGGACGCCCCCTCCCCAAGAAATTCTTTAAAATTTAACGGGCGCAAACGCCTTTTCTTGCTATTCCAGCCCACGAATACAGCAGCTTCAAAGTGGTCGGGATAATGCTATCCCCGATAATGATTCAAGAGGGTACCGGAGATTCATGAAAACCATGCTATATACAAGTTTGACCCTGACAACTTAACACAAGGCGTCAGTTTCATGTGTTTCTCTTAAAAAATGACGACTTTGTGTTTGTAAGTAGTACCGTTTGAAGGGAAGTGGCTTTAAAACCCGAACTGTTATGGCTTATGAGTCAACGCATATACCGGCTTGACCCCGTTACTGTGTAATATTTTTAATGATAGATTAATTGATATGAATATTTATTTTCAGCTGGTTACTAAGTTAATTTACATTTCTTAATCAAAGTTAATCATTAATCGACTTGCAATTCACATTCATTTTGGCATTACTAATATTTATTTTTTCAGATATATGTATTTGACGTAACTAATATTTATTTTTTCAGATATATGTATTTGTATCCTGTCAATGTATGGTTTTGTTTTCTGGTGATTTTCCTTATCAAGGGCGAATGTTGCAGGGTTTATACTTGTATTAATATTGCGCAATCTGATTAAAACACGGTTCCTATTTCGTTTCGTTTTTATAGTTCAAAATTTAATTTGGTTTTAACCTCGCCTATGTTACTCCCTGGTCCGAGCTACCCCTATACCCCAAATTTTAGACTCGGGCCAGACCTAGTGTAGCCGCCAACCCCGAACAGACCGGCTTCGCTCGGGGGTCATAACTCCGAAACCGGAAGTGGTAGACTAACGCCATCTGGCCTATGTTACTCCCCGGTCCGAGTTACCCCTATACCCCAAATTTCAGACTCGGGGCAGATGTAGCCGCCAACCCCGAACAGACAGACTTCGCTCGGGGTTCATAACTCCGAGACCGGAAGTAGTAGACTGACGCCACCTAGCCTATGTTACTCCCCGGTCCCAGGTAACCTTATACCCCAAATTTCAGACTCGGGGCAGTACTAGTGTAGCCGCCAACCCCGAACAGATAGACAGACAAACGACAGTCACAAATATATATACTATTCAAAAAAAGTAGGGGATATTTGATTTTTGGGGCATAATACTAAAATATGCAAATGACTACGAAAAAAGTCACTATAGAACCTAACAGAAGAAACATTTCCAGTTACATGTGACGCCCAAACGCACCAATAGCTACCGCATGGAATGCAGGTGATGCTTGGGATCATCATGGGGGTCCAACCCAAGATTTGCACGACTCTGACTTTGAATGTTACAGTCATTGTGGCATTGAATTACAGGGTGGAAACATCAGTTTAATTGTTTTAGTGACCAGAAAACAAATTTTGATATGCGTCGGCTTACCCAAAATAAAAGGTTACGTGCCCTTGGCATGCTACAGATCGGCACAACACAGGCGGTTGTGGCGCGGACGATGAATGTTTCTCAGTCTGTCATAAGCAGGCTATGGTCCAGATACCGTGATACACAATCTGTACAGGACAGACCACGCTCAGGTCGACCAAGGGCGACAACTCAAGCCCAGGATCGATTTATCCGTACCTTGGCCTTGAGAAATCGTGTCATAACAGCAAATCAGATCAGCGCTCGTCTTCAAACAGACACTGGTGTGAGAGTGAGTGGCCAGACGATTCGGAATCGACTGCATAGGGGTCACCTTCGCGCCCGACGTCCTCGCGTGATCCCTTGTTTGAGAGATCATCACATTCAGGCAAGACGTCGTTGGTGTAGGGATCGTCAACACTGGGATAATCGACGCTGGAGCAATGTGATGTTTTCAAATGAGTCAAGGTTCACTGTTGATTTTTTGGACAGACGTAGGAGGGTGTGGCGTCGTCGAAACGAGCGCTTCCAAGACGTTAACGTCATCAGACATGATCGATTTGGGGGTGGTTCTGTTATGGTGTGGGGAGGCATCACTGTTGCTGGAAGAACGGCTTTACATGTTGTTGCAGGGCGTGTTACAGGCCAGTACTACCGGGACAACATCTTGGCAGTCCATGTTGTGCCGTTCGCACGACGTCATGGCCGCCGTTTCATCTTCCAGGATGACAACGCAAGATGTCACAGGGTCAGGATCGTTACAGGTTACCTCCAACAACAGAACATCACCACATTACCTTGGCCAGCACTGAGTCCCGACCTCTCCCCCATCGAGCATGTCTGGGACATGCTTGGACAGAGGTTACGTCAACGTCAACAACGTCCTGCCAATGTCCAAGAACTTGCTGCTGCGTTGCAACAGGAATGGGACAATCTGGACCAAAATGACCTTAGACGTCTCATTAGGAGTATGCCACGTCAGATCAATTCTTGTTTGGCAAACAGAGGAGGATTTACCCGTTACTGACTTGGTTGTGATGCTGTGGTAACTTTGCTGTTTGATCCCGGGTATCATTTTACCCTTATAATGGTCAGTCTGTGCCTTACTTAGTCTAACGATCATTTGGAATAAATCGATGAATGTGAACTTCATTTCATTTTGTCATTTGTTTCTTCGTCAGTTTCATTAGGTGACTTTAATAACACTTAAAAATCAAATATCCCCTACTTTTTTTGAATAGTATATATAGATATCCGGCAATTCAAGCTCATAATATATTCATCGTTACAAATATTTAAGTAACACTTTATTAGGCAATTAACATTTCCTAATTGTTTTCAATTCATTACAGTTTATTTTCAATTCATAACATATAACTTTGGTTATATGCATTATGTCTTCACAAATTTACTTGCCAATTATGTAAACAATTACATTATCCCTATTCCTCATTTATGTATCCGCATTTAAGGGTTTGGGTTCTACTGCACCTTTTCAGACTATTTTTTCGGTATACAGGAATTTTAATTAAGAACCCAAATAGACTAGGGACGAGGGTTGAACATTTTCAAGAAACACGTATTTTACTTAATCCGATTGTCTGGTGAGATATACATAAAAAGGTAAATATCAAGTTAAATTGTCTTTCATAATAGTTCATCACATGTACAAGTTACCAGAATATTAAACACCCCAAGGTTGTACAATCCTCATCCTTTATCATATAATGAACATGGTTTTCTCTTCTTACATTCCTTTGTCGGTAATATTCTGCCATTTTGGAGAAATTATAATTACACCCACAAATATGTAACTTACAG